TTAAAAATCAAACTACCAAGGAAACTGTTTAATGAGTGTCTAAATCTAATAAAACACGGCTGTGTTTTTTAGCTCCCTTTTATTGGGAAAAAATAATAAAATGCTATTGGGGATTAATCGAAAAATAAACAGGTATCAATCCAAAGTTTTTTTATGACGGCTAGGGCATCTTTTGACACATTAACAAATTATCTATCTTGTTGAACTGGGAGTTTATACTATATATCTAAAAAAAGACATACAAAAGAAAGAAGAGGAGGAAGAAAAAAACTGAAGGAAGCAAACAATGTTGAGCGGTGCTTTATACCTCTGTTAACATGTAGCGTAGTCCATTCCACTGGATACTTCTCGCTGAGCCCCCAGCCTGTGCCATTAGATCAGTATTATCTTGAAACTCTCGGACAGCGAGGTCTAACGCTTGCTGCGGAAAAAAAGGAAGAGCAAAAAGAAAATAAAAGGAATTCTGAATTCCCCTTTTGTTATTCAAAATCAGAACAAACTGTTTGTCGTAGGATGCTCTCTAGTTGTCTGATTTAAAATGAGCTTTTAGGTAAACGGACATGTCACAACGGGGCTATGTCACAAGGATATTGCTGTTTTGTTTGCTGAGCGATGGAAAAATATAGAAAGAAAACAAAAATAAAGTGGTGAATTAAAATTGCCCGATATTTCGGTTTGCAATACAAACCTTCAACGAAGGCTGTAAAGCACTGAAAGATAAAAGTACATACCCATAGTTCTGCCGTGCCAATATTCTTGAGGTCCTGGCCCTTGTTCCAGCCTGTCAGTCCATACCTAGTCCGTAGCCTGACAAGGCTGTGTAGCATACACAGGTTATGTAACAGGGCAGGCCACTCCTGCCGATTGCTGACACGTAACAAATCACCATCAACCCACTGAAGGGACCTTTGCAGGTTGTCCTTTGTATTCTATAGAAAAAAAACACGAACCACCCCACGTCACTGAGAGCGTCCAGCTATATTTTCATTGACATTGGAGTAAAGCAATAGACCTAAAGTACAACATGGTGCAGGAGCCCATAGTTCGGAGCGAGTAACCCCATACTAAGCTTATGTCACTGCGATTTTACAGAAACATGTTAACAATACCTTGACCTATTGAAAATGGATGCTCCGTTGCGTAGGCATATTTAATCATTGCAAAATGTATGGAAAACCAAAGGAAAAATAATTTAATTATTTGCGTCGTCAAAATGTCACAAATGACAATTTCAGTCTCTTTTGTTGGAGAAGGGGCTGACTAGTAATTGTGACTCAGTCATGCAATAGTTTGCGGCGACCTCTACATGAAAATGAACCGCTCAGTGAAGATGCCATGAGAATACGTGATACATGGAAGTTCCTCGCTTCGGGTCAAGCGATCGTGTAACGGCTATTCCAGCATCAGTACATGAAAGACTCGTAAATAGTAGAGGGAGAACAAAGAAAACTCAGTGCAGGCTATAAGTACTTCGATTCATAAAGTTTGCTTACTTGCCGCTAGTTTTCTTATTTATGCCGCACTAATACAAGACGGAAAAATTCTAAATCATTGAAGACTGGGGTATATCAGAATGTTGCTGTACTGGAAAAGAACATTTAAATTACGTAAGTACCTTTGGCGAGTCGGCGACAATTTTGACAGAGGACTGTAGCAATGATGAGGGTATATCTGAGTGGGGTTGGACGGATACCCACAGCCTAAATTCACTGTCCACTGTTTTGGTCTCATGCATGAATGAATCCAGAGCTGCGAGCAGACGAGGAGAGTTGTGCGCGTTATGAAGAAGAACCCAGTGACCCTGCAGAGTGTAAAATACATAAAGCACTATAAAAATACTGCCGAACGTCTCCTCAAAGGCCACCTTGAGAAAAGAGGAAGGTAGCTGTTAGCAGATGTTCAACTGTAAACTATATTAAAATAAAAACTAACCAGAAATATTGTATCAGGGAGACGCAACACCAAAATTATAAAGACATTTTCAAGAATTCATGAATCTTTAAAAACCCAGTTTTGAGGGCCGAAATAACATTATTTCCTATCAACAAAATATTTTGTTAGGCCGCATAGATTACCTGTACCATGGCCCTATGTATCATTTTTCTTGCTACACGCTCTTCGCCGATGCCAACATTTGCTAGAGCAAGAACATGTAGTTCCACCTGGGAAGAAATGAACGAAATCAGGTCAAAACAAACTAACAACAATGTGGTGGAAGTGGAAGAGATGTGTCACTCTTGGATATCTATGAAGCGATCATAGAGATTTTTTCCTTCTGCAAAAGAAGTTTCTTTTTGAACGGCTCGGATTGCTTACAATGCCTAAATTTCATGACGCAAATTTAGGAAACCAGAGTTGGAACTTCAAATCAATTCTGAGAACAAGCCAAATGGGAATGTGACTTGCATTTTTGAATGAAATCAACCAGGATCTTTTTCCAGAAGGGTAATTGTTTAACGTACTACAGTACTACAGTTGAACCTTTCACTAACGGCCACCCCTCCATAACGGCCACTTTTTTTGGCGGACAGTCCATACATTGACTCTCGTTTAAAGCTCTCTACAATGGCCACTTTCTTCTGTCCCCAAGGTGGCCTTTGTGAAAAGGTTTAACTGTACATATGGAAGAGGGCCGGGTACTAAACCCACCCCCTCACAGACCGTAGAGGGAATATAAACTACACAAAGGCGTTGCCTCAGTAATTATGTACAAACCTGTCTCTTTTGTGATCCTTCAATGACCAACTTTTCCACCATATTTGCTTCTTGTCTGTACAGAAGCACAATAGGTGTGCGGTTCTCACTCTGACGGAAGGCAAACGGCAGATCTAAAGCCATTTCAGCAGTGTACCTGCAAGTAATTATCAATTATCGAATGAGGTTCAGCAAAATATCGTTATTTGGTAGTGGCGGGCAGATGCCGGTAACGGGGAGATAAGTGATCTGCGAAACACTGACTAATAACAATACTCTTCAAACCGAGTGCGATCGATCATTCGGACAGTATATATGCTGGATTTGTTTCGTGATTTTGTCAGGAAACTCGTAGTCAGTTTCTTAGGGTTCTGACGGGCTCTCTCCGTCTCTTATGAAAGAGTAATCTAATTACTTTTGGATTTTGTTTTTTGGACAAACCATTGAGAAATGTTCTCTTGGCAGTGACAAAACCCACCCTTCGATCCCAAATCAAAGACACGTCAACTGCCACCTTCCAGAAGAAAAGACTGGAAAGTAGTTCAACCAAGTAGAGTAAAGATCATTATGAGTATTACCACCAATAACAAAAAGCGGATCTGAAATAAACCAATCAGATATGGAAGCAAGTTCACGTGATGTAGCCGAAGACAAGCCAGAAATCACAATTCGCATTGGTTTGTTTCCCCAACAATGAAACGGCGGCCATGTTTGTGTCCCAAACAAGTCCTGTGGGAGATGAATCTTTTCTTATGCAAACGCTTTCTTTTGTTCCAATAAATTCGCACAGACGCTGGCCACGCGAGTGAAAACGCTCTATGGGGGAAACAATCTATATCAATTGCAGTTTCTAGATATCTGACTACCTACCCCTCCCCTAAGTCAAACCTCAATTGATCCAACAATCTTATAGCGGCAACGATTTCTAGAATCGTTCGGGTGGACTAGCTTTAGTTATGATTGGTCAATAGTATCCCAGAGCAATTATAAACCAACCACTGCATATGATGTCCACCCAAATGATAACGGAAATCTTTGGAGAAATCTTTTGCCCGCCCACCCTGCGGTTTACGAAGCGACGAATCACTTGACTCTTGAATTGAAAGGTGACTGACACATATTCTAAGTTTTCAATGTTTTATATAGTGCATTGTATTGATAACAAAGCGTTTCGCGTTCTCACTTCTTTCCTAGCACAGATGTAACAAAACACATGGCGGCTGGTAACAGCCGATCTCCTCTGATGGAACGGATTACCATGAATCTTTGAATGAGAGTAAACCTGAAAGGCATAAATAAATAAAAAACAATGAGAAAGTATCCTTTTTGCACTAATACTTCACAACGGATTCGTCATTTCATAGCGATGTAACGAGGAAATCGATTAATTTTCTAGCGCTTATGAATTGGCTTGCGTCGTTATGTCGCTCGAGTTAAAGGAGGCACGTCTTGGCGAATTATAGTTCCATAAGTCTGGGTTAAAACGGAGCTGCATTAAAACTAAGTGTCATAAGTCACCTTTTTTTCATTTTAAGAACCTTAAAAGGAAGATAATAAGCGAATGTCTCAAAGGTAAATCAAAGACGCGATCAGCTATTGATATTTTGTGTACAACGGGAAAGGTGAAATTGAATACGATAAACTATTTCGTTTCGAATTGCAATCCATTTAAATCTTGGTTATCGAAAGCCAATTTTCGCGTTTTAGTAGATCATGGTAGAGCAATTTAAAGAAAACTGAACCTATATTTAGATGTTTCATTTGATTCCATCTGTTTTAAATCATGACACAGCCGCTCAAAACCGGGCGGTTCATGTTTTGCACGAATGATAAACAAAGCTAAAGTGTAATAATTTTCGTTTGGGAATTGCGTTTACCATCGGCCCAAATCAGTCCAATTTGCCTAAAAAAGACCGCCAATGCCTGAAACTAGTTTCACAGAAGGGTTCGAGGAAATGGAACGCACAGAATTTTCTTCAGCCACTAGCCGACAGTCACGGAGAAGCCTTGACAACATTTTTTCATGGTATTCACATGAGAAGAAAGTTTTAATTCCTAAAGTTTTACAAATGTCCGACATACTTTTCATCCAGTCCATCAGGAAGAGCAACCATTTCAGGTTTCTCGTGCTCTGTAATCTGCCTCCATTGCGTTTCACGACCATCCTTGGTCATCTTATCAAATGCGTCTTGAAACCAATCGAAATGAGTCGCCAACATCTACAAACCAAACAAAAAAAATTATAGATTTACAGCAAGCGAAAGTAACGAAGACAAAGACAATGACAAAGACCAGGGGAAGAAAAGTTTCTTTTTTTCCACAGGCTGATTCCCTGATTGTGGCTGAATTAAAAAGTAAAAATTCCAACCAGGGTAATGAGAAGCGCTTCAACAATAAGAAAAAGTTCCGTTCAAAATACAATTGTTACTCTTGCGACTGGCCAACAATTAACAGACGCAAACCTTGGATGCTAGAACTTGTCAAGACCGATTAAGACCACCAGGGCTGTAACTCATGGCAAATAGCTGGTCAAGGGTTCCCACCATTACTTAACATGCAAAAAATAAGAAACTTTAAACTTGATTGACACCAAGATCATTTAAAACAGAGAGCCCGTGGTACACTTACCTGTAAATTTGAGTATTGTTCATCCAACAACCAATCAAATGGTTTCTTGGCAAGAGTGCGTGACGCAGCCTCTGAAACTGCAGTGGGTTGTAACGCAGTCTTTACTGCAGCACCATATGAAGGATGGATCAAAAACTCACGGTCTCCGGGCCCCACGCGCCCGTTGGAATCTTCAACCTTAAAAAAAATCCAGTAAGGTTTACTTAGTTTATATGTAGATTAAAAACATCTGTTTCCTCGTTTGTGTCGTGTGAGAGAACCCCTGGGAATTTCCTTGGACAGTGAAGCGTGCTTTCTTTAATCATGGGACAACAAACAAGTCTTTTGGCCATGGAAAAGGACAGTATTCATTGCCATTAAAAGTGTCTCATAACACCATTTATTATATGGCTGAATCCGCGAGTGCGCAAGATGCGGGACGTCGGGATTTCGCGAAAGAAAAAGTTCTCTTTTTGGATATATAATAAATCCCTTCTTGACCAAGCTTGTTCAGTCAAGATGGCTGTATACTGGCCTGATTCTTTCCTGCGTTTTAATTGACCTCGACGAACTTGCCCAATATCCTGCCATCTTGACCTTACGCTTGGTCAATAACACATATTTATTGAAACTCATCTTCATGGTGCATAGGAAATACTCTATTATTTCCGAAGACGATGGTTTGTTTCATAAAAGCCCAGCTTGCGACCCTTGTTGAGAGTTATTCCGGCGTTTTGGCAAACCATTATTACCATAGAAAAGCACATGGGATGCCAAGTAGATCAGATCTACCTAAAGTTTATTACATAAGCACCAATGAAATACCAGGTGAGCTTTGTGGTGAAAACATTATATCCTCACACGTGAAAACGAAAGGAAGGTTATCTTCACACAGGAAGAAATCACCGTTGCTACGGCTACATAATAAATAGTGCTTTTCACAGCAAGAAAATATTGGTCTGGTTTTTCAATGTTTTTTAGTGTTGAAAAATATTTTATTATATTCTTCGTATCTTCGCACGACCATGCAATATCCTCTGCAGTCAACTCTCTCTAGGACGGACACCTTTGGGACCGGCGTAGCTGTCCGTCTTAGAGAGATGTCCGTCTTATAGAAAGTCAAATAGAGGGAGCAAAGAAAGGACCAACTCTAGGTGTCCGTTTTACAGAGGTGTCCGTCTTATAGAGGTGTCCGTTAAGAGAGAGTCGACTGTACATTAGGGCCTCTACTAACGGCCACCTCTCCGCAACAGCCACTTAGTTGGCGGACAGTCCATACATTGACTCTTGTTTAAACATCTCTACAATGCCACTTTCTTCTGTCCCCAAGGTGGCTGTTATGGAGACGTTCAACTGTATTTCTTTAACGGAATTTGGTTACAATCAACCGCGACGTAATTTTTCTACTGGTGTCTATAAAATTATTACCACGGACTTGCTTTACCTCAAGTGCACAGAGAACGGCAAATAAAGATCTGTCGCGTTCAAACAAAGCTCGTGCTGATGTGTAGAAGGAGTTTTGGGTCAGTCTTTCCACTACTGCCTTTACAGCAGTCCTACAAAAAACAAAGGGGTTTAGTTACGTCTTGTTACGTGAATAAAGGAAAGAATCTTTTTGCCGATTCGACTTCAAATCTGCGATGAAAAATTCCTTTTCCCAATCTGCAATCTGGATCGTCGGAAACGAACGCTACTCGAGTCCCTCTTACGCTAGTAGTAGCATTTGGATAAGTTCCCTTTGAAAGCATGTTTGTCCAGTGTAAGGTTATCTTAAGCATTATGTCAGCCTACACCCACATATAAGCTTGGAAGACAGACAATGTTTTAGTTAGGGAAACACTGACGTCTTTACTGATTATTTAAAGGTTTGACTTGCTATTAAAGTAGGATAGTTCGCATGACTTGGAAGGAGACACAACAAAACCTTACCTTTCGGAGTGTTTTATAGCCGCGTCAAACACCATGAGGAATTGCGCGAGAGAAGTCTGATAAACTGTGTTTATCTCGGCCATGATCCGTGCTACGTCAAACATGACAGCCGCTCGGCGAGCGATTGGTCGAAATCCTTCACGTGACTGCAGGATAGAGTTTTCAATGCCGCGAGCACGTGTTTGACTATATAAAAAAAAATGATTTGCAGGTTATTTAAGTACACGAATAGTTTTAATACAAAGAGTGAAGTTAAGTCTAGTTTAGACTACTAATCAAACAGGTCACGCAAACTTAAAGGAGCTGTGTCACGAAGTTCAGCCAAATTAGAAAATTACAAATTAAATTAAGAGAAACATAAAAATAACCGCTTAAAACTTTAAAGGAAGGTTAAAATAACATAACAAAACAAACGGATGCGCAAAACCGGATTGAAATTAGGATTTTTGAAAACTGTTCTAACAGTTTGATCCCGAGCTTGCCACTTTAAAAATAATGCTCAGGAGACATATTGTTTGTCTCGTATCTCTGATTTTGTCATTTCTACGAGTTAAGATAGCGAGTGAGGGCGTTGAACGCGGTCAACAAAATGAACTGGACTATAGACTTCTGTAATCAAATGAACGGTACAAAAGACGTCGTCTTACGTTGAACGGAGTCACTAAACTTTTGCAATCAAATGAACAGTACAAAAAGAGGATTTCCTGACTTTTCTTACCCTTATTAATAATATGAAACAACAGTCCTTCCTTGTAATCACTTATGATGAGCATTACCTTGAAGTTCAATTTCCATTGAATGAGAATAAAAGGACTTCAATACTTTACAGCGCTTTAATTGCTGATCACCACTATTGAAACACGAATACCAACCTTTCAACGATTTCCTCGTGTTGTTTTTTGATAGAGGCTAGCTTCTTGGTGGCCGCCAAGTTGTAAAGAAGACGGTGACCACTTCCTAAACACTGCAAAATGTTCTCCTCAGCTTCTCGCAGGCCTTCCATCAAAGTTACCATTTCCTGACACAAGAGATCAGACCTTGAGAACTACTGTTTAAGTTTCCTAAATCTTTACAAAAGGATTTCTCTTCCACCTTGTTCCTAGTCCATCAACCTTATTTATCAAAAATTGTTTCACGAATTTTACGGACTTTTGAGCAACACGTAGTTCAAAACATTGTGGCTCCCGTGAATAGTTATAAAAGAGAATGTTATTAGTTAGCAGCTACGCAGAGTCAAATTTATAACAAAACAATTACGCTGGTCAATGACAACAGTGAGTAATAGGGTGAGTGGGTGAGAAAATAATTAAGTCTATTTCTGGCTCCACACTCGTTGGTTCAATAGTTTTATTAATCGAGTATAAATTTGGCATTACTTACATCTACCACTTGTGTCCTCGTATCCTGCATCCGAGGCTTCTCAAGTCTCAGGAAACGATCAAGGAACATCTCCTCAAGGCCGTCACGTGACTGACTAAACTCAACCACATTCACGTATGCCGCAATGCTTGATGGGACAGCCTGGCAGGAAAACGTTGTAGCCAATACCAACCTGTAAAAAGGGCGGAAAACGCCATGAAAACTTACGCCCAAAAAAAGTTGGTAACAAAGTCCTGGAAACAAATGCTATTTTCCTTCAATGAAATTTTCCTCAAAACAAACAGCACGTTGATCGTGTTTTTTTACAAATGGATTTCTTGTTACTGCACATACTATTTTCTTAATGCGTACGTTTCGAACCTGTGTTATGTGCTTGCTACTGCCAAAATGTTACATCCCTTTGTTACCAATTCATCTATGCTTATATCAGTTGGTCTTTATTTTTCATTCTATGACACACATTATCAGCATTCCGTATAGCTCACCTAAATCCTGGCTGACATTCAATTTCATGTTCACCAACCTGGGGAAAAACATACAGAAAAATTTTCTACCATTGAAAACCATAACGCAGCAGCATTTCGCTTATACCATTTCATTATGTGTACGATGCTTTTAGAATTCAAATCAAGTGCATGGGTTTGGCATAATCCCTTAACAGTAATTGCCCGAGATAACTGTGTCCATTTAAAGTTAATCAACAGTTTTGCAGAAAATATGATAGTAGTCAGTCACCAATCAATCAATCAATCAATCAATCGATCAATCAATCAATCAATCAATCAATCAATCAATCAATCAATCAGTCAATCAATCAGTCAACCAGAGAGTTCAGTTCAGTTCAGTTCAGTTTTAATTAGCCAAAGTAAATGACAATGCAAGAATGCATATAAGAATTGTAAGTTGGCAAGGGAGCATAGAAGAAACAAGAATCGCCGAAAGGCGATTTTTAACTGGGCTGCAAAGGAACTATTTTTTCTGAAGGAAGGGGCGGCTATACACACTCAGGCTACCATAAAACCTTGTCGGCAACCATTGAATGCGACAGAACCTCATGTGAGACTGAAACATAAAATCATTCAGAACATTGTACCTTTTGAAAGACTTTCGTAACAAAAAAAAAGAGTGCCGTTTTTAAGTGGGGGCTGTATAATAACTTTTAAATTCCACCATTATGAATAAAAATAAACAAGTTAGCCATTAATTCTAAGCAGGAAACAATTTGCATTATTTCCACGTACCCCTCCCCCAATCCCTCTTTGCCCCAAAATATAGCGTGACAGTATAACGTGACTAATTTGACGTAACTGGAAATTCCAAAAATTGTTGTCGTTCTACGAGCATAAAATGTGACAGACTGAGCTGATTTACACTAGACAGAAATATTGTTATTTGTATGAAAACCAGAAGTATACTAAAACAGACAGTTAACTGCCCATTGATCCCGCCTGATCCAGGGCCTCACTGACTGCACGGAGACTTTACTGCGCTTTTCACAAACATGCGAACTCTAAAGTTCAGAAGCCACCGCAAGTTTATCGCTGCCGTCAATCATAATTACGATCACAAGCAACGAACCTTGAAACAGAGAAACACACAAAACGGATCGAAATCCACAAATCACAAACCATGACCTTTTGAACCCGTGCAGTAAAGTTTTGTTTCCTAAGAGGTCCGTTAAGATGATTGACAGCAGCGAAAAACGCAATCGTCGGTTGGCTTCTGAACTTCAGAATTCGCATGTTTGTGAAAAGTGCGATCCTAATTTGCGGTCCACAGTCTACAAGAAAACGCACTATTTTTTCCACAAGATGAAAAATATTCAGTTTTAAGATTTTCCTCATGGTATTTTCTCTAACTTAAAGGAATAAAATCCTTTGCATTTTGAGACCTAAAAAAGTTTAAAGATTTCTCGCTCGCATGTTGCGTTCACCAGCACGCACTTCAAACAACGTAAATAGATGAAACGATCGATAACATATTTTTTACCTGATACCGATGCGAGTTAAAAATTCGCTCCAGTTCTGTTTGTCTCACCCAAGACGAACTTTTCTTCATGGAAGATAACTATGCCGCTTTATAACTCGTCCGAAGTTTTTGTGCCAGCTAAACAATATGGAAACACTATTCACAGTGACTCCTTGGATATTAAAAAGACTGAACGTGACGCACGATTATGCCTTTGTTTACTTCTGATCACATCTTCAAGCGAAGTCTCTCTTTTCAAGCGATTCATCTCAATGCACAATAATTGACCCTTATATTAGTTAAAACCCTATGGTTCATTTATATTAATGCTGTTTTTGCCCCTCACATTGACTGTGTTCGTTCGTATTCAAAACAGCTTTACGAAAATAAAGGTCGTATAAGTCATGTGTGTTATGTTTCGAGATAAATGTATTATACTTTTTTTTAAGTTTCCATTTTGCGGTGACTTCAGTTTACATCTCCATAAAATGGTAAAAGAAATATCAAGAAACATCACGAGAGCTGAAAACTTTCAAAGGCATGTTTCTGAAACTCGCTAATGCTGACATCAATATAGCGTGCTTGCTGAATGGGCGAAAACACAGAATTGAGATCACAAGATCATGTACAAATTTAATGATAAAAGCTTGGCACGATACAAATACAAACAAAAGCAAACCCCCGGAAACCTCGACGTGGGCTACACTTGTATGCTCTACTCAGTCACCAAACCTTGTCAGTAATAGCTCCTATTTTCCTCAAGTCGCTCTCTGTGAAGCTCCCGGATGGGATGTCTCGGTGCAGCTTTAAACTTGTGTGCGAAATTCTCAGTCCCTATTTTTGTCCTTGTCTTCTTTATCCTCAATATCCGAAATTTAGACCTCCAAAGTGGCGTGTGTTGTATTAAATACAAGGAAATATTTAAAGGAAAAGCCAGTCTTCTAACATGGCAAAGTTGTCACGACCCTCGCTCATCGGCAACTGAGTTGTTCGCTTCACTGACTACGAAGGCTTACAATCAAGTCTTCAGCCATACTGTCGTCAACTGGTGAAATACCTTGCTCATAAATTGTGCTTCTTAATTGCTCATGTACTATATCGATCGATAATTCTCTCTTTGAGTTCACGAAGCGGCCACGGCGTTCCAAACCTGACGCTCACAGTCATCTTTTAGTGTGAACCTACCGTGAACGGCGTGTCGGTTTGAATGCAACGCGAGCATTTCTCTGAGTTTCCCAGCGCCAACATCATTTAACTGACTTAAACTCGAACAATAAAAAAAATTATAGAGTGACCCCCACGATCGAATCGCTTCGAACAACGCAAATAGCCTTCTTCAGGTTCGCAACGCTTTGTGGGTTTTTCAGGGGGAGCGCAGACGAGGTACAAAAAGTATCCGTGCAAGGGTTCGTACAAGAGAAAATCATATGAAACCATTTGTGAGAAAATCGTTTCTCGGTGCCAGACCCTCGTGTCTTCCCTCCCCCGGGAGGCCGTTTTTCGCCGCAGACGACCGAAAGCCCATTTTATGACTGGGCCGCACAGGCAGCCCAGTAACTAGCCTCCCACGCAGGCGTTTTAAGGGGAGCTCGTTTTTCATCCCTCCCCACAAACGGCGCTTGTGGGGAGGGATGAAAAACGAGCTCCCCTAAAAACGCTTGCGTGGGAGGCTAAGAAGACACCGGAGGGCTTTTGAAGCCTGGGCTCCCACGTCACAAAGAATAAGTAAATCGAAATTCGCGGAGTACACGTCGTAACGAAAAACTAAACAAAGACTAATTTAAGTTAAGAATTCAGTAACTAGAAAGAAGCCAAAGTTTTTAACTCTGGATTGGAAAGAAAATAAGGAGGGGGCATCACAAATGAAAGCATTCAGCTTATTAAAGAAGACAGGACTTATGCTTTTATTAATCAAACAATCATTCATTCAATAAAACAACAACGATATCTTTCGCTATTCACCCAGTAAGCCAATCAGTCAATCAGTCAAACAATCAATCATATACGCCAAAAGAACTAAGGGCAGTGCCAGGGACTGATTGTGAGTTTCTTGACACTGTCATTCATTTAGCGTCAAGAAGACGGAAAAAAGCATGATGGAACTCACCATAAGTTTAAAGGGAGTAGCAGATGTCAGGAACCTGTAGCGACTTCTAAGTATGTAATAGAACCTGCTATCATACTCCAGCTCGTTTACATCTACATCCGTCACAACCAGCGTAGTGCCCTCGATCAAGCACGTCTCCAAATGACCGCGAAGCTCCTGATGAAAAACAAAGATTTTAGTTAATTTACTAGGAAGAATACCGTAAACTGCCGGTTATAACTTCCCCCACTTATAAGCCCCTTCCCGCCCTTGTTATAGGCTAATGTACTTGTACACAAAAGAAAACAACCGATTATAAACCCCCTTTGACACAAGCACCCCTTCAAACGTATTGAAATGAATTCGATTTTTTACATGACGTTTCGAAACTTATAAATGGAAAACGCATTCTTATCATCCTCAGAGACCCAGGGGCAGTTAGTCGGGACAATAGAATGTTCGTGCCTTCGTGGTGAAAGTTCTATCGTCCCGACGAACTGCCCCTGGGTCTCCGAGGATGCATTTTGATCAACACTGCCATAGCTTGTTTCGAGGTCCTTTTTCTTTTCCGGTTGTGAGCCCCCCCTCTGATGTAAGCCCTTCCGTTGATAAGCCCTCCGAAGACCCCTTAAGAAGTTGTATAAGCCTATAGGGCTTACAAGTGGCAGTTTACGGCAGCAGGAAAAGAAAAAAAACACTTTAATAGAGAGTTTCCAGGTAACAAACCTTGTACTTGACTAGCGTTGTTTGACCAAGCATGGTGAGAACCCAGGTGATAGCTATTCTCTGTGGATCACATAGCAGAGCCCACGAGTCTGAAGACTCCTCTTGAGAGAAAATGCATATAGTGTCCATGGAGATTGGATCTGTAGGTAACTGCATATTTTCCCAAGTCTTCAACACAATCTATATGCAGGAAATAACAGAGGCTTCATTGTACATTGGCATAAGTCAAGGTTAAGGTCCACTATACCCAAATTTACTTCTTGTTGTTTTACATCGACATACCAGCTTGCTAACCTTTTTTTTAGTCTAACAGTAATTGCACTGATATGGCCAAAAAAAACAAAGTAGTTTGATAACATAAAGGCCTGGTTTGAAGCGTTGATATCTAACAAATAATTTGTTTAATTTGTTTCTTCTGACAGTTTGTTTCTTTCAGATGTTAACATTCTGCTGTTTACTGAAATCCCTCTTTTTAAACGTCGCTTCTAAATGTGGACATGATCCTGAACAGACGGTAATACCTTATCCACACCTCATTGTGGACTGGTGACCAGTATCGGATGTGCAACTCCATCTGCTTTTTAACTTGACACTGTGTTGTTTCGTCGTACTGAAGACTGAAGGGACTCTGTGAAGCTCTAACGTCAGAAATGAGCTCTTCTTTGAAAACAGGTCCAAAACCATGTCCAATTACATACGACAACTTTGTTCTGCTCATTGAAAAAGTTTCGAGTGTTCAGGATTGCTGAACTTCGCTCTAAATGTATCTCCGATACCATCACTTGACCTGAAACTGTAGTTGTCAACAGAAGCCTGTGATTCTATGGACGATGAATTATGAATGGTTTTAAATGCTATCTTTGTCTGACTGTCAATGCTATGTTTGCAAGACGAATGTGTGTCTTACTCTTCTCTGAATGTTGAAGAACTTGGGCAAATCCTGCATTCACATTAAAGCATCTAAGTAAGTTATTCTACAAGATAAAAGGCATTTTTGGACGAAAGGATAATAATCATATCAGAAACAAAAGTGGTTCGTTCCGTATCTGATGTTACATCATAAAAGAAACATTGAAGCAACAAGTGTATTTGCTTTTCTCATTCAAAATAGATACAAGAACAAAGGGTCATCAATCTCAAGTGAGGTGACATAATGATAAACAGCTATTGTTAGAATACAAAGAGGATGGAAATGGATGTAAAATATAAACTCACCTCTCAACACCAACATGGCAGCCAGAAAGACCCCCCACAGTCAACCCACAATGCATTGCAAGAGTGCAAATTGGGCAATTTGCTTTCTAAGCTGTTTCTAACAGATATTTGTGACAAAAAATCTCCTGGATTGTGGATTTTAAACGCCAATACAACTTTTACATTTCTTGAATATTCTTTTTTTTACAAGAAGGCTTAAAATATAGGAAAATATAGGATTTACCTCAATTTATAGGAGTTTATAGGACAAGTCTGAAAAAATAGGACTTTATAGGATTTTATAGGAATATATAGGACGCTTGACACCCTGTAACAGGGTAGAGTAGAACTGCTTTATCACATAAAGAAATAAATTAATTAATTAAAATAAAAAAAATGCCTCTGAATCCAACAGAGAATAGGCAACTTTTGCATAAGCGTTGTTTTCTCTTTCTCTTGGGACGACCGTAATATCTAAGGGCTTGGCCAAACGTTGAACTTTTCATGAGACGAACCAAAGTTTGTGATTTAAGTTCCTGAAAAATTCGACGTCTGGCTCAGTTAAGTTCGTCTGAAAGAGTTTGGATCTTCCAACACGTTGTACCCGTCTGCTTCAGACGGATAGAACGTCTGAAGATCGTCTCCGGGATAAACGTCGACTTCACATGCAACGAACTAAACTAATAATTAAAAAAAAAATTGTAAGATAATGTATATTTTACTCGTTTGGGAGAAAAGCTATTGCTGATCTGATTCAATTGATTAGTTTGACTAGTCCTAAGTTCGACGTCCGTCCCAACGGACGATCTTAACTTGAGTTAGGTCGACCCAAATTAAAGTTTGGTTCGTCTCATGAAAAGTTCGACGTCTGGCCTAGGCCTAAGAGAAATTGGCAACAACTCTTACGCAAAATGTTTTGGGGGTTGAACATGGCGTTTTACAGACTATTTAGAAGTGGCAGAAAGAAAACAAACCTTGCCCTTGAGAAATTCCGGAAGAGTGAGACGATCAAAGAGATGCTGGAATTGAACTTTCAACCCATTACCCTTGCACACTCGCATGAAAAACTTTCCCATTCGTTTCCTACAAATAAAAATACAAAAAAAAATATCCATCGCAGCAAGTATTTAAAAGAAAAAAAAAATCGAAAGAGTTGTTTTTGTTTACGAACCTTCTGTCAACTCCCATTGCACCACAGTAAGTGAGAAACGCTGCAGCAGCGACACAATTGGACAGCAGTATCTCTGATGAGGTATACTCGTCAACGTATGCTTTCCACTCTTGTTCCATGTGTTTCAGACTGTGAAAAGATAAAGACAATACATAAGATCGATGAACATTTCGTAGGGATGTTACAAATTGGAAAGATGATAATGCATTATTTATATTTCTCTAAAAAATGATTTTCGGCGACCTAAACCTGTCCATCCTTCGAGACTAAATTTTCATGGCCCTGCAACCTATAACTCATAGAAGAAAGAAAACTTTTTTCTCCCCAGATATACAATTGTAATAACCCACTGAACCGCCTAAACACCATTTTGAAATGCTTCAAAGACTCTATCAGTTCATATCTCCAGCTATTGGCAAGAGGACGAACACTTCATTTTCTCCGGCTCGACTCCCGCAGTAACCAAGTTTTAACTGAAGGCATGCAAGTGTTAGGTTGTGTTAGAGACTGGGTCAGCGTTTTCTCGAATTACACTATGGGACTGTTCTTCGGAACCCATTTGAACCCACCTTCTTTTCTGCACAACCCAGTAACTGATAGCCATGCAATGAAAGTGGTACTGCCACCAACGCAGACCCACAGTGCAATCTGACACAACACCTACCCAGCAGGGCTGTCCCTAAGATGTTAAGTTGCTGGGTGTATGCAATACGCATGTGGAAAAAAATTCCCTTGGTTCTATTTTCTTCTAGCTTCCTGTGAAAGAAATTGGGGTTCATTCCGCTAGTGGCCGGGGGAAAATATTTGCCTCTTGTGCAGGCCCTGTGGCAAAATCCGATCATAGCTAAGTGTCACCCACATACCTCTTAAGTAAGGCTGTGGCAGCCTTAAGTCTCTCACTGCAGGACTGTACGTCATTCTGCAGGTTATGTTTCACTACCACTGCTTTATCGTACTCCTCCAGTAGCTTCCTTACAGCTGCTTGAATCTCCGGTAAATCGGCCTCTGTTAATTCAGCTTCTGGTTCTGGCGTAGGTGGCTTGAATAAATAACAAAGGGAAATTATTCTTTCTGTAAAGCCGTCATATTTTCTTAAAGGTAATTTAAACCCATCAGGTTGATTGCGCGAAGATTGGTTTGTTGTCTATTGACTAAGACGTCCCTGTGCCGAAGGGCTGGCCAAAACAAAAGCATATTCGATAGGAGATAATCAAAGATCATCTGACTGATTATCATGCATCTGTTAGAACGCAATAGACTTAAGAAATGGAGCGACTTTATGTCGGTCCTGTTATCAGCGAAACTCTTCGCGTCAACAGATAAATGCAGATAAACCTAGGAAATACAGTGCAGTTCTAATGGGATGGCAGATCGGTTGGCCTGTGAATAAATGACCTTTAAAGTTCCACGTACCATCAGGTCACATCTTTACAATCCCTTTGGTATGATTTGTAAAGGAAGGGGAATAAGAAGTCTTTTGAAATGATGAATATGATGTAGTTATTATTTTTTTTTATCTCAGGTAATTTTTCTTTTTCCTCTAATTCAACTTCATTAGCATACATTAACAAACCCAAAAACAAAAATTACCTGAGATAAAAAATAAACCATAACAAATAAATCCATTTCATCGAAAGGAAAGCCAAAAAAAATTCTGGATCTCCGGAATTCGAACCCTGACAGCGCTCTTACCAACTGAGCTAGCAAGCAAACTGAGAGCTGGTCATTAAATTGGTTCGTGATAAAAATGAAGATGAAATGATGAATATATGAATTGCATATATTCGAATCGTGGAATAAAGAAACAAATGCAAAGCAGATCACCGTAGTCGTTTGATCTTACCTTTTCCTTTTCCTGGTCCTTAGCGGTCCGATCAATTTCAGCCTGTTTCTCGTCTTCTTCCTGTTCCCTCAGAAGATCTTGTAAGTAATCAGAGGCTTTCCTGTAAGGCTTATACAACCGTGTGTACTCCACAATGGCCACTGTGTACTCCACCAGCACTGCGGCGTCCTCAGACGAGTACTTGGCGGCTGCGATTGTGATTCCTTGCATTTTTCGTTCTGTTGGGGACATGGAACGAAGGATTTTAGCTAAGTTTCATTTCTTTTCAGTTGCAAGAACTATATGCCTGTCCACGGTCATTGCCTTAAAACTCTTATATAAGGAATGCAACGCCGAATATCAAATTCTGGTAATCTTACTGCGGTGCTATTAGTTACCAGCAACATTGCAGGACCATTTTACAAGGCCCCGCTTGAGTTTGAAGGACATCAATTGAACGAGAACCGTTAACAACTGCGTCGCTTAGTGGAGGTGGGTGCCGGTGATGTCCAGGGGCTTTCACCTTCAGCCCCTAGACGGAGTTACGCCCCCATGGATGGCAAACCAGCGCCCTCAAGCCATGAGCCCCCACGCCAATGGAACCAGGCACCTGTCACACTGATTTATCAGTGGAAGAATAAAGAAGGGGGGAGGGAGGGGGAAGGATGGAGGTAAAAGAATGATCCAAAGGCTAAACGAAGAGAGTGGAGGTGATGCAAGCAAGGCTGACCGCGCTTGAGCCGAACGACTAACCGCTGATCTCGCCTGCAGTACTTGTTGTTAACTGTATTAAATAAATATTTTATTTAATTTCATTTAAAACTGTTTCGCATGTCTGGCACAACATTTCAATGCCAAAGAGCCAAAACTGAGGTTAAAAAACATCAGCCTCCTAAGAGGAGGTAAGACTTGGAAATCGCTTTTCAATAAAAAAAAAAATTCGCTTTTTTTTCTAAAGAGCCCCTTTCACTTCGGGTGAAGTAACACAAAGAATATCACGGCAGATTTTGATCTTTTTTGCAGAGCTGCACACTACAGTAGATCTTTGGGCAATTTTCGACTAAAAGTTGCCCAATGTCCAACAAAATCGTAACTGCAGTCGGAAAACAACAACCGGTCAGATCAAACACCATAAAAGACACATTTTGCAGCTAAAGATCTGGGCCGGGTTGTTCGAAGGTGGGTTAAGATAACCCAGGGTTAATGTGAAATTTGAACTCAGCTATGATAGCTTAAAAAAAAATTCAGTTTAATTATCTTTGCCTACAATTTGATGATTGGGTACTCTAAAAAAAATATAGAAAATCATCCCAGAGAGTGCTTTTGATGAAAAGAAAAAGAAGCACTGGTTAAAATTTAACCCTGGGTTAGCGCTAACCGGCGTTCGAACAACTGGGCCCTGCTCAGTACACAGACTCATGGTTACTCGTGGTTAGAGGAGACTGGTTATAAAAGGTCAAGCATCAAAGATATAAACAACAATACTGCAGTTTATGTTGGAAGCTCGCTGACCGTGCGCAACCATTGCTTGTTGTTCACAAATTGTGACGGAATAAATTAATGCAACGTTATTTGGTCAATAAGATCAAAATGATAGGAATGCCGTCAGGTCCGCAAAAACATGTAGCAAAGGAGTCTACTAACTATGACATACTTCAAGAAATTAATAGTTAATACAATGCATGGCCGACAACCTTTGGACCTCTCCGACTAAAAAGGTGACCTTATCGCACGAATGTCATTTAAAAGAGGAACAAAATATTCGCAGTCCTGTTTTTGGCAAAAATAACAAATCAAAAGCTGTACCTGTGGGAACAGATGATCGTCCAGGAGGCGTTTGGTAAGTACTGGCACTAGCGCCTGGAGCAGCAAATCCCAGGTCACTGTCATTTACATCTCCGCCATTAGAGGCAGCTAAAAAGGACTGGACCCCTTTAAGAATGTCGTCAGGTAAGCCTTCTTTCCAAGGCACGTTGTGTAAATTGTCTAAGAACTTCTGTGAGTCGTTCATGACCTGTTGGATAGCTTTCCATGTTGGGCGATCGACTTTGCCTTCAGCATTGACGCCTAAATAAGAGAATAACATTCTATGACCGACTGACCCATTTCTCTCTTTTTTTGACACATGTCCTTTGAGGAAGACTACTGAAAATTTAATATCCAAAGATCTATAAAAATAAATGAACCTTTACCAAGAATGTCAACAGTGGCGTACAGAAATTGAGACAATAACATTTACACTAGAAAACAAGAGGTCTTTCAAAAATGTCTCCACTTATGTCCAGAAATGCACATAACCCTGAACTCCGGTCCTTTTTACACACAACTTGGGTACATGATACAAACGATGTTTAATTTCCATATGACTTCAGGTTTGACAGAGTTCATTGTGTTTTGGTATGGGTTAGGGCTGAGGGAAACTGCGTGATTGATCGAAAAGAGCACGAATTTGCCTCGACTAGTAATGCTACCCGCGAGTCGGCAGCTGAGTCGGTCTTTATAACTGTAATTGAAATAATTTTAAAGAAATAATTTTTTGTTGTTTGGTAAAAAAAAAAAAACATCTCAATTCCACTTCTACAAATCCATCAGAGAGCATGTTCGCAGGTTAGACAAACCAGATCAGACAGTAGTTTTAAAGAAATTACTGTAAAACAAGTTAACCAGGTCTTACCCAGAAGAGGAGTCTGAGGTGATCCCTTATGATGTGCATAATTGGTACCTCTTCTCTTATGTGTTGCAGAGCTGGTGCGAGATGCCTCATCAGATCCTGTTCCCAAGGAAGAGCTCTGCTCTCCCTTGCGCTCGTGTCTGGTGGGTGGAGGGTGGCTGGACCCCGCTCCTCCGATCCCAGCAGCAAACTCTGGTCTTCCTAGTAGCACCATTACCATGACCATCACCATGCCTGCCATTGGAGGGGGGCTCTGAAAGGCTCTAAGACGCTCACACAAGGAGCGATCTACCCTGTGCATCCAATGATATACCTGTGTAAAACAAACAAAGGAAAAACTATATGGTACTGTTCATGTTGGTTGTAACTTAATGGATACCCTACCTGTCACCCGTAATAGTGGAGCTTTCGCGCGCGCGAAAGAAGCGGAGAAATTTTGGTTCTGACAAAAATGAAAATCGTCCGTACGTACGTCTATAAGTCAACCCTTTCATGTTAGCGGATGTGAAATGGCACATTTACTTGTTTGGAGTCCCAGGTAGCATACAATCGGTGTTAAACTTGATAATTGGACCTCCATGTTACGGTCAATTGACAGCTGCCAAAAAAGTAACTGCTGACCAGTGTCACATGACTTATCACGGGCTCAGGTGTACAATTTGTTGAGGTGACTTGTTTTATAAAGTTCGTCGCTGACCAGTTATTAATATTCACTTGATCGCAGGCTGAGGTTCATATTGCAGGTGGAATTTAGTTTGCTTCTTGCTTATGAAAAAAGTTGAATTACGGCAGACCTTCGCTTTTGGCATTGACTAAATATGTATATTAATGATACACACAATTTTTGCAATATAATACTAGAACTTTGACGAAAAGTTGTGGTGGTCGGACATACGGACGACGGAATTTTGCAGATTGGATATTTCAACAAGGGTTAAACTAACCTGCTCTTCACACTTCTTAAGAGCTTTCTTGGAATCCTCCAAGGCTCCCTCAGCTAGCTTAGTTTCCTCAATAACCTTCAATCGACGACTTTTCAGGTTCGAGTTCTTTAGCTTTTCAAATTCTTCATCCAACTCGTCTGCTTCATCATCCTATTCAAACAAAGCAAGCGAATCAGCCTTTCACCCCTTCATTTAAAAGGACAAGCAATATGCAAGGGTATACCATTCAATTTCCAGTTTTAGGGCTCATTACTTCATTCCTTTTTTCTCACTCGCGAGATTTAGGCTTATCTTCAGGAGGCAGCGTGGACATTAAGTCGGCGTGGTCATCAAGTCGGCGTGGACATCAAGTCGGCGTGGTCATCAAGTCGGCGTGGTCATCAAGTCGGCGTGGTCATCAAGTCGGCGTGGACAACAAGTCGGCGTGGTCATCATGTCGGTGTGGACATCAAGTCGGCGTGGACATCAAGTCGGCGTGGTCATCAAGTCGGCGTGGTCATCATGTCGGCGTCGTCATCATGTCGGTGTGGACATCAAGTCGGCGTGGACATCAAGTCGGCGAGGTCATCAAGTCGGCGTGGACATCAAGTCGGCGTGGTCATCAAGTCGGCGTGGACATCAAGTCGGCGTGGTCATCAAGTCGGCGTGGACATCAAGTCGGCGTGGTCATCAAGTCGGCGTGGACATCAAGTGGGCGTGGACATCAAGTGGGCGTGGACATCAAGTCGGCGTGGTCATCAAGTCGGCGTGGACATCAAGTCGGCGTGGTCATCAAGTCGGCGTGGTCATCAAGTCGGCGTGGACATCAAGTCGGCGTGGTCACCAAGTCGGCGTGGACATCAAGTCGGCGTGGTCATCAAGTCGGACGACTCGCCATCTGGTGATCCTTGGTTCGATTCTCGTTCTGGTCCCTTGCTGGATTTGTTCTTGGTCGTCCCGATTTCAAATCCCCAAGAACGCTTGTGAATAGCCGACTGGTTGCCTCCTGTTAGGTTTGGGTTTTAATCCTGGTACGTTCTGTTTGAATTATTTGTTTCTACTTATTTGAGTGGAATGCCTGTAAACTAGCTGAATAAGCTAAGTGCACTTTCCAGTTTAGTCAACCCTTTTACGATTATTCTTTGTCTCCCACCCACTCATAGGTTTCTCAGAGTAGGCTCACGGGAGTGCAATCAAAAATAAGTGGCTTGTATAATACGCCATCAAGTGATTAAGTGATTTTTTATCCAATTTTAAAGCATGTACATTATATGGTGCTTCTTACGTTTTTCGCACGAAAAAAATATGAGCAAAGATGCGTCTATCTAGCCCAATGATAAGCCACTTCGCTTCGAATTTTCTATCCACAGAAAAAACATGGTAAACTAAGAAATGTTAAACCTTTCAACCCCAATATCAACATAGAAATTCTCCCAACTGATCTCCATACATTTCCTTTGAGAATAAGTCGAGAGAATTTGATTTATCGATTCTCATAACCTTTCCTCTTGATGATAACCTGATATTGTTGAGAGAAAATTGCTGTTGATCACTCATGGGACTCAGGGGGTTAAAAGTTAATAAAAATAGTAACCTGCAACAAAGCAGTGTCCTCCTCTTCAATTTCGCTGTCTATAAGTGCTACAAAAGCACTAAGAGTGGCACTCCCGATACCCAGTTTAGCTTTAAGTTTCTCTAGCACTGTTGCCTTTGCAGTGAGGGCCTCCAGCAGCTCATCTGACTTGACCGTAGCTGCAGAAAGCTGCTGTTTGGTCTGTGAAATCAATTCTTTGATCAGAACTGCATCTTCTCGTGTTTGCTCAAGGGTTGAAAGAGCTCGACTAAATAAGACAAAAAAGGTCATAATTTACAAGGTTGTTTACTGAGACTTAATGTCCTGTATTGGTGAAAAAGTAAACTTGATTTTACCCAAACTAAAACATTAGTTTTTTTCTATTGTGAGCATGAACCAATTGGTTAAATCAGCAGGAAAAGATAAAATAGTTTCGTTTTATTTTGTTTTGTTTGCGTATGTATGTGTACTTCACCTAGCCATTTTTTAATTACGAACCAATTTAATGATCAGCTCCCATTTGGCTCGTTGGCTCAATTGGTTAGAGCGCTGCACCTGTATTGCAGAGGTCAGGATCTGAATCCCGTACAAACCTGAGTTTTTTCAGGCTTTCTTATCGCAACTGCAAAAGTTGCGTCTTTATCTGCGATGATCTTTGCACTTAATACTTACGTCAGTCGGTCAACTCTCTCGTTGGCCTCCTTTCTCTTGTCCCTGAAGATATGTCTAAAACAGTGCATGAACTGAACATAGGTGGTAGGACCAACAAACACGTCTCCAGTGACATCAACTCCACCATCGCGCTGGTGTTTCAAGCTGATTTTCTCCAGCAAAATTGACAGAGAGCGAGGTTCACTTGCGCTCCCGTCTTGAGGTGGAGACTGTTCTCTTTTTAACAGATGATCATCTCCAGCCCAAGGTATCTGATGGCAATCTCTCAGCACATGCCCGTGTATTGTTGAGAGTGATGCTACAACTTTGTCCCTGAAATGGTAATTTTAAGTTAATGGTAGTCTTTACACTAGAGCCTAAATAAGCTAAGAAATATTTCACGATAAGTAAATTTTAAATTCTTCAAGTAAAAGAAAGCTTCACACACGACCTATCTTTTTTACTTCAGGTTTACTTAAGCCTATTTTCCCACAAAACATAATTAAGATTGATTGACATGCTTCGCCTTTCTGAAAGCTTAGAAACTGCAAGTTCGCTAAGTCGGTTTTAAGAATGGTTTTCAAGTCACTTGAAACTTTCTTAAATCGTTTCAACTTCATTCAAATGAAAGCTCTTCAGCCGTACTATGACATGGTACCATTTATTCAGTATGTAGTTCTAACTTTTGAGTCTGTGAATGATATCATGCGGTGTTAACATTTAAATGAAACCTTTGCAGCACTTCTTTCACATGTTAATATTTATTTCTTAAGAATGGTTTTCAAGTCACTTGAAACTTTCTTAAATCGTTTCAACTTTCCGAATTTAATGAGATGCAAAATAAAGTTACTTCAGATTTTACTTAGGCTTTCACACACGCATTTTTGGTTAAGTAAAACTTAGCAGCTCTTAAGTCTTACTTAACAGCCTAGTGTAAAGACAACCAATATCGTTAAAACATTTCGGTACCCTAACTAACGCTATGTTCACACTACATCGGGTAGTTTTTAGTGCGACTCGAAAAGCTATACGTTATAGCATAAACAGCTCGGCACAGAACTGGAACAAGTCATTCACACACATCGAACATCGTGCTGGAGCGGTTGGACGAGAGGGTTTGTTCTATAAATCCTAATCCGCCCTCTGAATATTTACTTCCGTCTCAGTGGGTTCCGGTCCTCTACCTAATCACACTGAACCAGAGTGCGTCACTAAACCTATCCGATATGAGGCACTCCACTCTCGACATAGGCGCGGGGCAGTTGCGCTCCGTTACAGAAATCGCGCCGAAATCACCGTGCTTACATGTAAACAGAAGCCTTACTAGTTTGAATTTAATAGAAATAAATCTATTTTCTTGAGCCGAGCAGGGCGTAGATAGAGGATATTACATGGCCGCGCGGAGATACGAAATTTCTCTTCGAATGTTGAAAAATATTTCACGAATGAGCACAGCGAACGAGTGAAATATTTTTTTCAACACGAGTAGAGAAATTTCGTATCTCCAAGCGACCATGTAATGTTCTATGTATTATATAAACACCAATGAAATGCCAAACCATTTTACTTAAATAGTTTCTGGGTCTGAAAGGTGCGGTTTATTATGAAGCCATAGCAATGGTGATATTTTCACTTGTGGAGATGACATGTTATTTTCACATGTGAAGATATCAAGTTTTCGCGCGAAAGCTCACTTGGAATTTCATTGGTGTTAATATAACAAAAAAGAATAAGGTACCTTGTCTGTTCGGAGATATCAAGAAGAACATCATGTCTCTCTAGATAATGACTGGCCTCTCCTTCTAGTGCATACTGGGGCCAGTCTTTTACGAAATCCATCTGGCAGCCATATAAGATACCCGGGTAACACCTGCGAACAAGAAAACGTTCCTCTCTTGACTGGCCACAAACTAAAACACTAAGGAAACTCTTGCGACACAAGTTACAGCGAGATTATCTTTTAATTCTGTGGCAAAATCCTAAGGTGTTATCATTGAAATGAAACCATTTGAATGGTCAGCAGTACTTGCACATGTTACTATTTACTTAGCATGTAGTTTTAACTCTCCAGTCTGTGAATGATATCATGCGGTGTGAACATTCAAATGAAACCTCTTCAGCACTTCTTTCATCTGTTACTATTTATTTAGTATGTAGTTCTAACTTTTGAGTCTGTGGATGAAATGCTATGGGTGTGACCATTTAAATAAAACCTCGTCAGCAGTACTTTCACATGTTACTATTTATTTAGTATGTAGTTTTAACCCTTGAAGTCTTTTGATGAAATCATATGGTGTGACCATTCAAATGAAACCTCTTCAGCAGCACTTTCACATGTTACTGTTTACTTCTTATGTAGTTTTAAATTTTGAAGTCTGTTGATGAAATCCTGTGGGGTTACTAATCATATAAAACCTCTCTGGTAGAACTTTTGCAAAGTACGTTTTTTTCTGGATTTTACAAAAAAGAAAATTGGTATCACTAATCAGTAGACTAGTGAAAGGCTAAGTAGCTTTGACCATGGCCTTCTTCTGGTTCAAGGGACCGCATCTAAACAAATATTCTGAGCCATCGTTGGGGGAGTGAAAGCCAAACCCTAAGTTTATCATCAGAGCTAATGCATCAACAGGTCATAACCAAGGGATTCAACAGCACAGGTCTCCAGCGATAGCTTCTTGACGTCCCATCACTTCAATGGCACCATCGCTTTTATACTCAAAATTGCCATGATCGAAATTAAACAAAAGAGAGAAATTTTTCCCTTGGTAGTGCATTTACAAACCACTTCTTCCTGAATGCCTTACCGTGGGCCTATTCTGAGAAGTCTATGGGTGGGTGGGAGACAGAGAATGATGTGAAGATTAGCCTTCACTCGAGTGATAAAAAACTTCATAGGATCTGCCAAAAAGTTGGAGAACTTCTTCTTGATCGCGGGCATCAAAGCCTGACAAAATGAAACAAACACACGAGCCACTACGGTTAATAATTTTCTTCTATCGCGTAACATGAAAATGAGAAACCTCCTGTTATTTTGTACAGTCCGAAATTGTTTTCCAAACATTAATGTTTCCCTAATTGTCACCGTTGTAGTCCTTGAAAAACACACCATCATCAGGTACTCTTATAACAGGAAAGTTACTAATTACTAACACACCTTGCAGGCAACAAAAACTAAACAACCAAACAAATAATATAAAAAAGGACAAATGCAGGACCAATTTATTAATCACGTATTACCTGTAGTAGGCTGTCCAGTTCATCTACAGAGAACAATGGTGGGTACTCTCCACTGACAAGCAGGCTGTTTAGAGCATCAAGGTACATATCATCGAGAAGATCTGGTGCCTGAATCAAAGATACAGAATAGGCATGACAAACGCAGACTACGTAGCTAATCTATCTAGAAGTCTTCCAATAATGCCCGTGATAATGAGCTTACCTGGCGAGGGATTCAAGCATGTAAGCTCCACAAAAGACCTGTTGGGCTAATTTTCAACTTTAGGAAAATTGACGAGGATGACTACCAATCTTTTTGCTTGCAAAACTGCTTTTTCGGTTTATCTATTTTAAACATTAACCGTTTTTTCCTTTAATATTCAGAAACAGGAATGCTTAAGGCCAGTTCGATGCCCTTAAGCTTCCCTTGCCCTAACGCTATCCACTCAAAAAGTCACTGAAGTAACAGCTCTCAAGGCTTACAAACAAAAATCAACAAACTATCAACATTTCTAGAAAGCCAACTGAAGACTTCCTCGCCTAGCACGTTTGCAATCCACCTGGCGCGGCGCGTCTAAAAAGTACGCGGACTGAGACATGGAGCACTTTCCATTTACACAAAATTTGCCGGAATGCTAGTCAAACAAAGATGGCATACTCAGTGTTCCACCCCCGGAGTTAACCCTGTTCAATCGGTTGACCCGATGGGTCCGAAACGTATTTTTGTATTAAGTAGTACGTGTTCTCTGTTCAAGCCCCGCTGCCCTGCGAATTGTGGAAGTTTAGCACAAAAGTCAGCGGTAGGCTTCTGTTAAACTATGCTATTCTCTTTTTCCTTCCCTCTGGTCTATAACTGGTTAATATGGCATAATTGAAAGCCCCTAAAGGAGCTTATCTAAAGTTAAATAAACCTAAAGTATCCCACTGAACTGCAAAATCTCAGTGGTGGGCAGCAAGGGTGGAGCAGTGGTAATAGCACTTGCCTCCCACAAATGTGGCCTGGATTCAAGTCCTGGCCTGTAGTATGTGGGTTGAGTTTGATGTTGGTTCGAGAGGTTTCCGGTTTTCCCCTCCTCGAAAACCAACATTTTCAAATTGCAGTGTGAGCAGGAATATATGGTGGACGAAGAATCACTATGTCTGTGTCAGGAAGTGCTACTTCTAAATCATTAGGACATTAGGATAGGAATCTCGATTTTCTGGAACTCTTCTATGACCCATCGAGAAGAAGCAAATACTTACAGTAAACAGGACAGTTGTGGTTTTGCCGTCACATCCAGCTTGACGTACAGCTGATCTGAGTCCATCAAGAAATGTGTTTGGATAGGTACAGTCCACAGGATGAATAGGGTATTCCAACATGTACAGGGCTAGTGCTGCTAAGGAGTTTAGGTGAGTGCCAATAGACCCAATCAACAATGCATTGCCTCTGTAACAATAAATACAATTCCGTGATGAGATCAGTAAGTAGTTAAGATATGGCCTGAGGTTTTCTGACTGCGAGTTGGTACATGTAGCAGTGCGAGGGGAACTTGAAAGCGTAAGGATAAGATTAAAAAAGGAAGGCGTCAGCACATGGGATAAAAAAAATAATAATAAAAATTTAAAAGAACTCGTAACCTTTAAAACTGTTTTCCATACAGGACTTAACTGGATAACTTTCCAAAACAAAACTGGGGGTTGTTGGCTGCCCCGAAATCGTCTAGGTGTTTTTTTGTTTTGTTTTTTCCTTTTTTTTTGTTTTCTTAACTTATCGCCATTTCTTAATCTTATACAATTGAGGACATTAATTTAACCATTCAAAAGCTGAGGTGGAAACATCACTTTGTCATACTAACCCTTTCAGCTAGGGTAGTCTGGGAGAAGGCAGTCTCCTTGTGGTCATGGGTTTCCTCGAGAACAAAAGCGTGGACTTAAAAGGACTGTTAATTTTTTTTTTACTCTTCACGTACGCAAGTCCAAATCGGTTACTACCTACCTGTTTTTGTAACTCAGGATTCTGTGTAGGCGAATTACGTGGAACATTACGTGACCTGATATCATCAAATCAAGCCCCTCGCCACTGAACTCATCATTATACCGCTTCAAGAAGTTTTGCAAACACAGCGACACTTCGTCAATGTTATTAATTGCTTGAAGAAGGATCTGAAAAAGAAATTAAGACGTATCAACTATGTACAATTTATTTATCATCGTTAACACTGCCCGTAATAAATTCCTTCCTGTTCTTGCTACTAGCAACGTATACTCTTCTTGAGGCATGTTTGAAAAGACGACCACAATACCACAGGTATTCAAGATGTGGATAAACATTTCAAAACATTTTAAAAAAATGGTAATTGTAATTTGTTCAGCCACAAAGCAATTAGGAGTTCTTAGACCTCGTTAAAACGTGTCCGTGCGTTCCAGATTGAATAGGAATTTGGAAGTGTTGGTTTTTGAGGAGTAGGTAGGGGACGGGGTGGAGAACTGGAGTACCCGGAGGAAAACCTCGCGAAGCAAGGGAGAGAAACACATATTTCATCCAGGCCAGAACTCGAACCAGGGCCAAAATGGTGGGAGGCGAGTGATCTCACCACTGTGCCTTCCTTATAACAGGTTTCCACATCTTCCCCTTGTCCCTTTCGTAGTTTTAGAAAAACACAGTTTTTCAAGTCAGAAATAGAAATACACGACTACACTGAACAAACCTTGGGAGCCACACGTCCTTGAGTAACAGGTCGCTGGGAATAAAGCCCTGCATCCAAAGGAAATGTGATAAAGAGAGGAGATGGAGAGTTGGCTGGCAGCTCAGGAAAATTCTGAAAATAAATGACAAGGAGCAATTATTAAGCAGCTAATGCCGTTTAAATGTGAACAGGATATACTGAAGATTAAAAAGATTTGCTATTACTATTTACCTCTTTAATGACTGTCTTCAGAGTTTTTTCAAACCATTTGATATCTACGGAACGGCAGATGCGATCCTTCACAACTCGTGTTATCTCGTGTTGCCACAGGGATACCATGTATTCCTCATCAGCGCGCATTTCTTCGGAACAGTTTTTAAGGCCCTAAAATATCAAAGTTAACGAGTGAGTGATACATTTGCAAATCGCCAGCGACAGGAATAACTCGTGAACAAGTTTAAAATAAGATATAGAGTAAACCCCCAAAATAGTTAAAAGGGAGGGTCATCGAAGTTTTATGACGCTTTCATTGATCTCCTCTCAAGGTCTTAGAAGTCTTCACCTTGGTGTTTCAACGCTTTCCTATCAGACGACCACACAATACCGTGCATTGGAAATGACTGTGCTCAATATTCCTTTGTATCGTCGGTGTGACTAAATTCTTTGTTTTAGCGAACCTTTACTAAGATGTCTAAGGAAGAAGTAATACAGTAAGTTGGCCATAAACGTTTAGAAACACCCAGTGGCATGCAGATGGCATGACATTTGGTATTGCGTGGCCGTGGATACATATAGTGAAAGGACTCTCGCTCTAGTAAGTTTGCAATATACAAGATAGCGTTTGTGCTGGCACGAAAACCATACCAGATAGAGCTTCTGTTCACACATAAGCACGGTGATTTCGGCGCCGTTTCTGTAACGGAGCGAAGCTGCGCCGCGCCAAACTCTAAACACGACAGTCACATATCGGATAGGTGTTCATACTATACCGCATAGCTTTTCGTGGTGCTACGAAAACCATACTAGATAGGGCTTCTGTTCACACAAAAGAACGGTGATTTCAGCGCGATTTCTGTAACGGAGCGAGGCTGCGCCGCGCCGATCTAGAAAGTGGTGAGTCACATATCGGGTAGGTGTTTGTACTATACCGGATAGATTTTCATGGTGCCACTAAAAGCTATCCCGTAATGTGAGAACACAGCCTCAATCTACTGATCAGAGGGAGGATGTATCTAGTTCACTTCCGTTCTTTCCATCTGAAAGAAGTGACAGTAGAATTGTTCAGTCTCTATTTATTACTTCGCTACGACACCTGAAATACTCTGGTAATGTCCCTGAGATTAAACTGGTAATGGTATCTCCCAGGAGTGGGTGAAGGTCTCAATACATCCTGCAAGCTGGTCAACAGCGTACACGATGCCATCACAATCTGTTCGTGAAACTCTTGGGGTAGACCCATGCCTTGATTCTGAGCCATGTTGGCCTGTGTGGTCAAAAAGAGTCAAAGTTAGATAAAGTGACGATGAAACGAAGACTAAACATCTAAAATTAGACTAAGACTGAATGAACCATTTGAACACACCTCCAATATTGAAGTAACAATAGTGAAGAGTGACTCGGCTGTGGGAGCGGGAAGACGGAATACCGCAAAGTGACGCTGCAAGGTACAAACCGTAATTGTTATGATAAACAATGACCGAATAAGTCTGATGATAACATGAAAAAATTATCCAAGTCGAGAAGGGTACTCTCCATCAATCAAGGCTGCAGGCAGAATATCAAACTGGTGTTTGTGTAAGACGACTGTAGACATAATCGTTCAGCCTTGTGACGAGCTTAGTCGAGCTTAATCTGTTGTTCTTCATTTCAGTCTACAACATTGTCTAGCACAGAAGAAAGAAAAGCAAACGACTATCTCGAACGATCTCAACAAACCCCCAAAATTCACAAGCTCTAATATTTTTAACTCACACTTTTTCACTCTTCACTCACAACTGACCACCAAATCTACCTAACAATAGTTTCTGCAACACCGACAATCGGCCTACTTCCTGGACTGACCGTTGGTTTAATTATCATTCTCGCTGTATTGGCCATTTTCAAATGTATTGACAATTCATAAAGTGAAAATGTATGTCACTGCTAAACTGCTACTTAACCTCTATCCTTACCTTTAGTCTTTCAGGGATTTGTTGATGAGTGCCGCTGGTCACTGGTTCTGACTGCATGTTCATAGCTGCTGTTACAACAACTCCCTCCAAGACGCGGCGGTCAAACGGTTTTTTAGTATTGAACAAGATCTTCTCATCTAGGACTTGCCTCAGAAGCTAATACAGACGTATAAATTGCTCATGTCAATACACAACAAGCAAGGAGTCTTGGTTATAGGTACATGGTTCCTAGACAAACACTTGAAAAGTGAAGCAGTTATAATGAGTCTAAAGGAAATTTAACTATTGAGTCGTTGCCCTCTTTTTTCGTTAGAAAAGACACTATGCTCCATCTTTCCTTAATTTACCAAATGTTTTTGAATCGAGTAAACCTGAAACGGGTTACGAAGTTCCCAGCAAATAAAACACTTTTAACAACAATCCAAACTGTCATTAAGTCATTGATATATTTTCGAAATACGTAATCAAAAACAAATTCCCAAATTTGATCGCGAAATGCGTGGTCTTGTGCCGGTTAGTTTACCCTTTGAAACACAGCTGGGTAGTTTGAGGTCTGATAACTACCATCCTGTTGTCAAAACCTCTCCTCTACACGCACTGTCGCCCATTCTAACCAAGTGTCCCAGCAACCTCGTTCCCAGAGTTCTCTAATACCTGTTGACACGGGTAAGAGAGGAACCTGGCAACGCGGTTGGTACACCGGCCACTGAGATCTTGGATAACCGAGCAATAAACAAGACTGAGCCACTTTTTGAATAAACGCAAGCAATGGACAAAATCAGAACCTTGTTTTTCAAATATATTTAAAGAAACTGAAAACAATGTGCAAAACTCACCTCAAATTGACCTCCTGGGTTGAAGAAAATTCATCTGTCCTCCTGGGTTCCAAATTCATCTGTCCGTGGAAGACTAAGGTCATCGATAAACATGTTCAGTACTTTTCCTTTCTTTGCTCCATATACGAAACCTATAAGGAAGCCATACACGGAAATTGCATTAAAGTATATACATCTTCAATACACCTTGCTCGGAAAGGGTTTTAGTCATGTTCCTTGGTCATCGTTTTCTTTACTTCAAGATTTTGCAAAGGCTGTTTAAATCAGTTGATCAGCCATTTTGTTAAATACAAAACCAATAGTGTCAAACCTCAAAAACTGTCGAACACACGCAGCAAAAATGGTCTTCTTTTTTTTTTCTTTTTTGAAAAGCGAAGGACCGCCTGATCGCGGGTCAAAGCTGGACTCGACAGAAACTAAGCTATCCCTCAAGTAGTTTGCTTGTGCTCACCTTGCCTGTGGTAAATGTTTTGTTCCACAAACTGCTGTAATGAAGCAGCTCCTGAGGTGCCGGAATAAACATACCGTTTGACGATTTGATTCTTGTCCTCTGAAAATAAAATAAGTAATGTTACGTAGAAATATCGATATTTTGCTGATGACCTTTCTAGCCAGCACAGCATTCGTTTTCTAAGACCAGAGAGCAATTACGCGTCCCTTGACTTCTTGCATCTCGCGCGCTTTGAAAGGGATGCAGCTGCTACAAAGACTACAAGTGAGGTGTGCCACTAAAAATACAAATTCAATAGAGAAAAAACTATATACGTAGTTTTCAAAGGATTACAGGGACGGGGTTGAATGGCAATAGAATTAGGGAACTTGGTGGCACGCAGTTTAATTTCAATTCATTGAACCTAGGCGTGTTTATCTCTAGTTCACTTTACCTTTGTACTCGTCAACTCTTTCGATGTTTGTCCCTTTTTCAGGACTATAAATGAAACTGAAGGTACTTTTCAGTTAATGCTCATTAAAGCATGATATAGCAGCCAAAATATTGTCCAAGCTGATATCCTGTAGCGCGAACCTTCCAATAAATCTTTTCAGAAGTATACCTTTAAATTGTATGGCTTGCTTTTCAGGATTAAAGTAAATAAATAAGCAAATAAATGAAGAAGTTTTTTTTGTTCAGGATTAGGACTGTAGTTACCATCCATGATTCTCAACACAAGATAAAAGACAGGGCCATCTGGATAAAACACAGAATCTGGTGGTACTGGAAAAAGTAGATTGGCCATAGCAGGGGGTTGAGAAGTGACGTTTCGAGCGTTAGCCCTTCGTCAGAGTGAGAAAGAGGATTGCGAGTTGACGTTTTGATTTGGCGAAACCACAAACAATCCACGATTACCTGATTCGCTCTGACAAGGGGTTGACGCTCGAAACATCACCATCTGTATGCCTAAGTGGTGGCAAATCTTCTACTTTACAACCAACGCACTGACGCACCATCACAGTTAACAACAACAACAATAAACTTTATTTGCATGACTATAATTATGTAGTTACAGTATTGCAAACGCTTTAACATAAAAACAAACAAACAAACAAACAAACAAATCATAACAATGATAATGCAATGCAATGTTTAAACTCTGGATTCAAACGTACCTTGCTTGTCCAAGAAATCAGCAATGAGTGAGGTTTTGCCACATCCTGCTGGACCTGTCAGTAAAATGTTTCTACCAGACGCGCTTGCCAGTTCCATGAACTGTCGAGTACGAATCTTAAAGAAAGCGAGCGAACATTACGTTATTTAATAGGTACTTTTTATAGCGGTAATTTAAGATTTTACCTCCTCGTAGTGAAAGCTGGTTTGCAGTCGCTAAGATAGCTAAAAAGAAAAGCACTTCAGCGTTCGAAGAGAATACACTAAAACAAGATAGGACTAAGCTACAATCAGGGACAAATGCCCTTTCGGGTGGCGGCCATGATAAAATTTTCGTAACAATCTGTTATTTAAAAATCCCTTTACAAACGAAAGCTATATTTTCACAAATCTCTTGCAATTCTCCCTTTCCCACCCTCAAAAAAAAATAAACTCAGGAAAACTTTTGGATACACAGGTACAGTGGGGTATGGGGGGGAAAGCAAGGTTGGTTTGAAAAAAAAAAGGCCACAAATGAAAATTTGTCCCAAGACTGTTCACGATTTTAGTCCTCAATTCTAAATCAATGACTTCCATACAATCATTAAGATAGGTAGGATTGTTCAGATCCCATCGTAGCGAACAAGCCATTAAAACTCAATTTCAGTCATTCACTTACCGCGTCAATTGTGTCCACGAACACTTCTCCAAGAAGATCGGATGCATCAAAGTAGCTCACTTCTGGAACTCTATTTATTTAAAGCCAAAAATAATCACTCAATTGATCCGGGTCATATCAAAAAAGAACGGACTGAAGGAGTCTAGTGTTCTAATCGAAAGCTAATTTCATTCATCAATGGTACGGCATCACAACGACGTGAAGGAATTTTGATACCGGACAAAAAAAATTATTGATTTTTTAATTGTTTGCTGTCAGAGACTGGAATGTCCAGAAAACAATATCGTTAAAAAACAGTTACTGTGTGAGACTCGGAAGCCATGTATTAAACTTGAACCAACCTTGACTGCCACGGATCCCACTCGCCAGACTCGTCAACATAGTAATCAAACACTGAGATTTCTTGGTCATAATCTGGCAGAGCTGTCGTTAGTGAGAGAAGAAGCTCACTAAACTTCTTCCTGTCTGGTTCATCTAGTAGTCCTCCGAAAGACCAAATCAGTGAGAAGAGGTATAACCTCTCTATATGGAGCTCGCCACCAATGTCAGTATTACCCTAGAAAAAGGAGCAACTTTCTTTATGACCTTATTTCCTTAGAAACTTATTCCTAAGTTGTCTTTCGTGAGTAGTGTAGGGCACATGTTTTGGGGAAGACTGATAACCCACAATTGAAATTCTCGTTTTATTTGTAAAATACAGGAAAACGATCAATACCGACGCGAAAATGTCGCAGCAGAGAAGGCTTATGAATGTAAATGCTGAGAACACATTAAAGGATTGGATCACGGCCTCTAAAGTATGTCTTCACAATGTAACCTGAACATGTTGTATCGCAAAAGACTTTCAGCCTTGTTCTGAGTCGTCTTCGGCGAGTTCAGATGAGAAGTTACCCGTTCAGCTTGTTGGAAAACTATCGCGTTTGGTTCCAATACGTCTCTGCTCACTCGAAGAAGTCGAACTTGCCTGGGAAGAGGCTGAAGACGCTTTGGTCAAGCTTCCAATAGACCTTTTTGGCTTGTATGTTTTGTCTTCCCATTTCAGACCATGTGATGGTATCCTACAAACGTGCATCCACGTACATATGCATACAACATTTATGAAAAGGCAAAAGGCAAATTTTAAGTGACCTGAATTCGGAAAACTAAACATACAAGCTAAAAAGGTCTATCTGAGAGACCTTACAAGAAAAGTGCGGTGTGTATACAAAACATACTAAAATATGTTACCAATACAGGTAGATTTTACAGCGTCAAACATTAACAAGTTTACCTCAATCAAGGCCTTTAACATTGCAAGGCATGTGTTGAACAATCCTACTTCACAGATTTTCATAAATGGTCTGAAGAAACACAAAAAGCAACATTCAAGTACCGTAAAATTCAGAAAATAAGCTCTGGGACTTATATTTTTAAAGGCCCTTTTTGAGGGGCCCCCGGGGGGCTTATATTTGGAGGGGCGATTCAAAGGAGGGTTTTTTGCGTTACCGGTTTGGGGGGCTTATATTTGGAGGGGCTTATTTTCGAAATTTTACGTTTCGTTAAGTGTGTTAACGGACTGCCAACACTATCATCTGGGTTTTCATCCGCCAGAGACAAACAGGAAATAGCGAAACTTTGCGACATAAATATAAATTTGAACCTCTCTCACAGACACCTCCAAATTTAGGAATTTTCTGCTAGAGCCAAAGGCTCCAACAAACTTCAGACATCCCCTTCCTCTATGATACGGACAGTTCGCTTTGTCCCTTTGGTGTCCATAAATTAGAGAGCTTCGACTGTAATTGTCCATCGATACAGCACAGGTTTGCAAATAGGTGTTTGCATCATTCCTACATTTAAAAACTTATCCACGTTTCAATTGCGTTATGTGAACCTTTCTTATAAAACAAAGAAAATACAACGAACCTTGCTTCGTACTGAACAAATTGTGAGATGACATCTACTGTCTTGTTGAATGCTCGTTGTAGACACTAGTGAAAAAAGTGGAAACAGAAAATAGAACTTGCATCAATTTTAAATAAATACGACATTGTTGATCTAAAACCTATCAAACTGGTAAACCACCTAAACATCTTAATGAGATTTAAACATATACGATGAAGACAAAAGGTCATGACGTCACTCGCGTTTATGTATCTCTGTCCAAAAAAGGTCAATTCCATCCCTTCTATTCTACTGTGGATTCAAGTCAAATTTTTGCAATGTTGTTTATGTCTAAATTAAGTTAACGGACTTTCTTCCTCCCCTAGATCTGTACAGGGCTGATCTAAGATATCTACTCACATGACTTTCCTGAGGAGACCTATTGGCAAGCCAGGCTTCTGCTAGAGGCCGCCATCCTAGAACACTTTCATCCATATACACAACACCCTATATGTAAGCAAGGAAATCATATCACATAAAAACAAACGTACTCTCCAAAATAGTTTCCTTCGTACTTGTAGAAAAAACGAGACAAACGAGAACGAGAAGGCGGACTTAAAAATGACAATTTGTAAAGAGGGTCAACGGATAGGGCAACCACATTTTAAAGGCTATATTTGGTTGGCAATTGCGTGACAAGGCGGCCATGTTGGTGGTCAATACAATAAACAAATTTTTTAAAGAATTTACGTGAAAGTGGTATTTAGTTCGCAGAGGAGAGAAACACTCTTGTTCTTGATCACTGACACGGCCGACGTGACGTTAAATGCAACCAGCAATAATTTAGCAACTTGAAATTCATACTACTTTTTTATAGTTCTGCAAAGCGAGTGGCAGTGTTTAGTTTTCATAACGTTATTCAAGGAGACAGAGGTACAGTCTAAAAAAAGAGAAATGTTATCCCCGTGAATTAACGTTGTTCAAATCAGACACAGGAAAAAAAAAACATATCATGAACAACACAGAGAAGCTATACTTACACAACGAGAGACAGTGGAAGGCGAAGCATCCGTCAGGTCGTCAGTTTCAAACAGCAGCTTCACGTGCTCTGATAGATATAACCTTTCGCCATTCAATAAGTTCAGATACTACGAAGAAAATGATTACATGTAATTATTGCGCTTTATGAAGGACAGTAACATTTCCATCTTTGCAAGTCCGGTTAGCCCGGTATAGGACGATGATAAATAGGTTGAGAGATCAAAGGTCATAAATTTGAGGGCCGAACAACGATCTACGTCCTGCAACAGAAGGGCTACACTGAACTTCTACAAAGGCAAACATTCTTATAGAAGGATGAAAAATGAAATGATAATAGGCAAATACAACCAATACCCGGCGTCATCTTTGAGCGATAGAGTTTTTATCTCCTAAACAGAATACTTTTAAATTCTACATAAGGTGGTGGAGAACCCTCGTAAAGGATGGTCCAATGAGAAAGGAGATACGCAAAATATTCTTATATGAGGACGAAAAATGAAATCATTACAGGCAAAAACCACCAATAACCGGGATCATGTTAGACCGACAGATTTTTTATCTCCTATACACAATAAGTTTGAATTCCACATAAGGTCGTGGAGAACCTTCATAATGAACAGCGCAAGAGGGAAAGGAGATACGTTAAACACTCTTATACCTGGATGGAAAATGAAATGATTACTGGCAAATAAGCTTCATCTTCAAAAGCGGGCACTATCTTATAGCTAGAGAGTTTTCATCTCCTATACAGAACAATTTGAAAATTCTTCTAGAATGAGTTGAACAGTGCCAGCATATGTTTGCGTGGAGGGGTAAGGATGACGCGACACAAGAATCAAAAAGGAGACCATGGTGGGGAAGCCTGCCTTAAATCAACGCGACAATGGACACTCGAAGAAAGGGGTATGTAAAATGTACCCTTAAATGATAATCATTAAATAACAACCTGTCCTTTATCCAGGGCACTACTCAAAAATTCAGACCATCCATGATGCAATGGAGCATCTAAACAAATCCAAGTGGTCATTTTGTGAACGCTGTGTTCCTTGTTGGCTTTTCGGAAGTACGCTGTAAAAATACCATCCTCAAAATCTGACGCCGAGTTCACTTTGCCGAACATGAGAGCGGGATCTGACACTCCCAGAGGATTTATTCTTTGTAACTTGTGAGAGTGCATCGGAGAGCCAGTATTCTTATGTTTGATGAGGGAACATTCACTAAGGGTTTCTACAAGTCCTGAGATACAGGATGATTTGCCAGTGCCTGGTGGTCCAGCCACGATAATCCCTAGAAAGAAAATGCATGAATGAAACAGCGTTAATAGCATGCGTGTAGAAGGGCACACGATTTTCATTCGCTATCTAAGGAAATGAACACTAGGTACTTATCCAATTTTACGCTAACCACGCGGCAAACTGGAGACAGAGTACTGTACTAAAATGTCCGCTTTTGTAGGGCATCCCAAGCTTATCATATATTATTTCTGGTGGTTCATTCTCCTAAGCCGTCGACTATTTTTATCTTTTACCAGGCAAAGGCTTTCGGCCAGGAGCACCACAACGTTCTGTCTCCTCATACGTTAAAAAAACTACAGTTTGTGCATCCCAAATACCAGCCATACTTGAAACAAAATACCCCACTGAACTGCAGATGCAGTGAAAGGAATCTCAATACTTAAAGCCTTTTATAGCTAGTGTAGGATAAGAGTACTCTACCTCGATGGACTTTAGAAAGCGTCCACAATTGGTGTATTTTTGCAATCCATGGCTGGTGAGGAACAAACCCTTTTTCTCTTGTATGAGTTAGAAGAACGCTTTCAAAGTCCTGAACTACTTTGGTGAGATGGTATGGTGGGGCAGGTGGTTTCGGTAAGCCATAAAACACGTCACGTAAAACCATGTTGAATACGTTCAGCTCCTAAAAAGCGAAAGGACGTCACAGATGAATTGGGCGGAGCATAAATAGCTATGAAAACTGCAAATATCTGAATATTGTAAACGTTTGCTACAGTAGAATGCCTAGAAGCGTGCAATTCCACAATCAAGCAATCAGAGCTCATGTGCAGATTCTGGACAAATTTAGGTCATCAGTATGAAATGTTTGAGGTCAAAACACAGATTTCTCCCTGGCGAAAGCTCCGCTACGGCAGGGAGTGATAAGGGGTGGCTATATTTGCAGGCGAACTACGTTTACATGTAAGCCTGATTTTTTTTCCCAGGATTTCATATCGCAACTGCTAAGTTGCTTACGTATCTGCGATGATCTTTCCGGAGTCCAAATATTAGAAAGAGCTCTTCCAAACGTGAGTAAACAAATTAGCGGAAAACTAACGCATTATTTCTGCATACTACCTCTGGTGAAAGCCGAGGACCTATGCATTCTTGCAATGACTGTAACACTAAAGCATGCTCCATTCTGGCGGCAGAGGACAAGGACGATGGAGTAGTTGGCTTTTTATCCTTTTGCCCGAACTGGCTTCCTCTGTCCTTACCAGCACCTGCGAAACCACAAAAATCTCTAAGACTACTCAGTAGCTATCACTATGATCCAGTAAAATTGAATACCAAAGCTTCCAATGGTTCTAGCTTCACAAATGACAATGGTTTTGTAAATTTTCGTGAAAGACTTGCAAAGTTTGGCGTGATTATGAAACCGCTCGTTGTTTTGTGTGACAACGTGAACAGACGTGATATGGTTATATCTTGGTGTTGAATCAGCAAATAATAGTAAAGCCAGTAGTAAAGGTAGCACGATAGAACATGCGAAAGGCCAATAACATAAAAAAAAGAGGCTGGAACTCAACACAACATCAGGATATGGACCGTATAACAAACGCACACTGAGGGTGCTTTCCATTTGTCAGAACCGACCGGCCAAAGCCTTCCCGTCGTGATGAGAATTTCACCATTAGTCAAAACTATCCAACCAGATCAGTCAAATCCTAAATAGTGTGCTGGAAGGAAGATGAAATTTCACAAAAACCCTCGGAAAAAGCCGATTTCATTGTCCAAATGACTGGTCCGGCAATGGTCCGGCCGGCCAGTTCTGACAAATGGAAAGCGCCCGTAAGAAGGAAGCAACCAAAGGTTCTTTATCTGGTGTTATAAGAGTGCTTCTTCATCATTCTCAGTACATCATTCAGCTAGTCATGTTCTGAGTACAACATTACAGCAAGAAAAACTAATATTGTGAATTGCATACCCTCATTACCATTTGTAAACGGCAATTCTGAACGTGCACGGTGCTAGAGAGCTACACAATATCACTTACCATTTAAAGGCCGATATTAGAGAAAAATTACCCGCATAGACCATTTTAAAATTGCCAAGGGCATCGACATTGCGCGTATCCTGTTATGGGCATCATACAGGCCACATATTAGCTTACCAAACTGTGTAGAAACAGACTGGGTGCTTGAAGGTCTTGAGGGATCAATCTGGGAGGCGTTTAGCTTGCCGCCAAGTGGTCCTTGGGAAGATCGTTTGCGTCCTGCGTGTTGAATGACACCCACAAACGAGGATAAACTAAATTTGTGATGACTCTTTCCACTTCTATTGAGAAATAAAACACAAATGCAAGTGTGAAAGCACATTCAGCGCGGATCGGTATTTGGCCTCAAAACAGGGACAGCGGTGGAAAATGGTGGGCTCGGGATACTTAAGTCCCAGTGATTATTAACCGCTTTCTTTCTGAGGCTTCAACAATCCAATCAACATTTCAAAAGTAAATGTCCGTAGTAAAAAGCGCCTGGCTATGATAGAGTAAATTCGTCAAGTGTCCTTTGTCACAAGCTATCAAACTGTCTTCAATTGCTTTCAACATAGTCATCCCAGTTGTGTCCCATGTTCAGTCACATTCAATTGTGACGATTTCCTTGAACAGAGGATTCTGTTTCTTTCTTGAAAACCTATTTACCCAATTTATCTATACTCACAGCTGCTCTTTGCAAATGTCGCCAACTAACTTAAGACGATCAGCTAAAATCTTCGGCGATTTAAAGCCCTGGCCAGCACAATGCGCCCTGAGGATCAAAGACATGTCTGGCATCACCATCGCAACAGAACGGAACAGCGCTCTAAGTTCAGCAGGAAGCTCGAAGTTGTTTCCATTGGTACAGATAGTTAAGAAGACGGAAAAGTTTGGTTTTACAATGATCTACGAGATAAAACAAAATTTTAGTCAATATATGAACTTTTTTCACAATTGTTCCTCGGATTTTTTGTTAACAGTCGTCTGCAAATGGCCCCTTTATCACACCCCAAATTCCCTTTTTTTTCTGAAGCTGCCGTCAATTCAATCTAGATCATCATACTGAAGGTTTAGTAAGGCTTAATAAATATTTTCAGTGTAACTATAAAGACGTTGACCTTGTTATTGGGAGACTGTACAAGTGGTATTACACACATATGGTAGACAGCTTTGACCTAAGATGCTGTTTCACTTTATTTCACGACAGATGTGTGAATGCCTGTGACCATCAGCTTGGCTTAGATAAGAAAACTGGTTTTCCACATTGATGGTTTGTCATATCTGTGAATAAATTAGCTAACCTCTCTTCCATCTTCGATGGTGCAAGTAGAATGTCCACCCCTCATGGCAAGCAAGACCGCTTGAATCTCGAACAGCATGACTGACAGACATTCTACATTCACTTTGTGAAACTCGTCTATTAGACCCCAGCAACCTTCCTGTAAATAGAACAAGAAAATGTAAAAGCGTCCACTTGGGAAGACAACATGCAAAGATGGGAAAAATGAAAAGTAAACGGATGAGAATGTAAGGACAAACATAATATTAAAGGCCAAGAAGTGCTTTGCAAGTTACATAAATTTAAGCAAGGGCTTACTTAGTAGTTTGGAACTTGGAGGCAGGCCAAACAACAGCATCGAATGCAGACAACTACACCTTTTATATGCCAGTGTCTCATAAGGTCAGGACAGGGGTGAAATCAGATACAAATGGTTTAAAAACTAGCAGTACCCTGTGGAGGTGAAACGTGATTAAGCGCGAGGAAATACTGCGTTTAGGCCCCACTTTGACCAATTGGCAGAGTCCATGTGTTTCAACTGCACTGTTTGTAAAGCAGCCAATTGATCTGCTTTCCACCTGCTGGGATACACCTTGTCCAGTTTTTTGCCTTATATGGTTGGTTACTTCATAACTAACCAGCTGGATAACTGCTCGCCCTGACAAGCCAACCAAATTGAACGTACACGAGTAATAAAAACACCCTTTTTCAGAAGTGTGTTTTCCATGGCAAGCTTTTCCTTGAAAAAGTGTTCTTTGTTAGTGTACATGGAAAATATGTTACGAAAATATGTTACACACAAAACAACTGACATTTTTTACCTTCTACAACACCATACCAAAAACTTGCAAGTGAAACTTAGGATTTGGCTTCAATGAAAACAAAAGCTTTGTTTGACTGATGATAGGTTTGTGTAGCTTTATATTAAAGTTCAACCAACCTCTGCCAAGCCTACGATGATTTTTCCCACTCCATTGGATGACATCCTCGGGGAGCAACTTACGGTCACAAGGTAGCGACCCAGCAATGAAGCAAGACCCTAAAAGAAAAACCACGAAACGTATCATCAAAATGGGAATTTCGAACAATGTGTAGCGGTTGCATGGTGGGTTCCACTGCATAACCTTTCAAGTCACAGAGACATAACAGTTGTAAGAAAAAGAAAATTACCTTCACAGTTTCAGTTTTCCCTGTTCCTGTTGGTCCAACAAGAGACCCACCACAGAAATTCCATACAGCCTAACAAGAAAATTGAGATACTTATTGACGGTTTCATATTTTACAATGGACATTTTTATATCACTTCATGAATAACTTGAAGTTATTTGTATGTAAAGGTCCTGAAGGTCCACTTTTCGCGGAGTAAAAACACCAAACAAAAATCATTGTGTTCACTGGATTGTGCTTATCAAAAACGAAATGATTAATAGATTAAGATTAACCCTTACTCGCAGAAGTGGACGAAGTCAAAATTCAACAATTCCTTTTTCTAAAATGATGGAAAACAAAAGGCACCATGTGAAAGTAGTGATCAGTAGCTTTCACTTGAATTGTTATACTGCAGGAGCCCATTTAAAGACGCGAAAGTAGGGGCCATCTTGCAAGACTTCATCATTCACTCTCGGAAAGGGTTGAAAGCCCTTACAGGTAGAAGGCAGATCATTGGAGAGACTGTGGACGGAACTTCGCAATAACGCAGAACACAGCGATCTGTAGCCAAACTGATAGGTCGCAAAGAATGGCTTTCACATACGGAGCCCTAGTCTTCACCTAGTTTTCTGGAAAAACAGCTTCTACAAACTATAATGGATCTAACAACCATTCAAACTACCGCTACCAACTAAACACAAGTCACCTGAGTCAGGGTCAAGAAACATCGCTCGGTTATTGGAGTAAGAGCGAGGGCCACATCACTTCCGTAGAATTCATAACCATAAGGTAGCTGTGAGTCCAACATGTAGATAAAAAGCTCGTTACTCTCTTGACCATCTTCGGTAATCTTGGGAGGTTCTGCAGACGTAGAGCGGCCAAAACCTCTGTCCAGTGAAGGAAGGGAGGGTAGTGAGGGTATTCTCCCTGCAAACGAAACCAACAAACAACAGTCAACCTACAAAACGGACACCAATGGGACTAACACGAGGTGTACTTCTAAGATGCTATGCCCTTTAGAGATTCAATAAAACCAACTTTTGGAATCTGTGTTAGGGAGAGTTGACTGTAACTAGTTACTGTGGACGTATTTTGAAATTCTGCATCAATTGTTTCGGCTTGGTCAAGGCTAGAGGTGAAAATTTCTTACAAATCACTATAATTTGTCAACCCAAGCCTTAAGTTGGTGCCTTTGTTCCTGTTGTTGTTGTTTTGGAATGTAGGCAATTGTCTGCTGTATCTAGATTACGAATAAAGCCAGGCGATAAGAGAATATAGCGATTTTTTTTAAAGCAGGCTAACAAATAAAGTTGAAATGTCACTAGTAGTGCGGTCAACTTAGGGAAACCCAGAAAGCGTTCAAGACATACGTAGACATAACTTACCAGGCGCTCGAGAATTGTCTGTTCCATAAAATCGAATGTTTCTCTTCCACTCAAAATCGACGACGTCTCTCAATTTACGTCTACCAAGGTCTTCTAAAACATCTCTCAAGTACATCCCTTGCTGTGGAAGAAGTGATTTTGCAAGATTAGAGACCTTTAAATTCGGAGACGAGGACGACTATACGAGTACGAGCTTTTCTCAATATCATGTATTGCTCACTTTTGAACCATAGTCATTTTGGCGGGAAAACGTGGTAGCCGTCGTCATTCTACCACGAGTTTTAGCGAGATTAGGGACTTTAAGATCCAAGGACACGGCGGCAACGAAAACGTCGCTTAAAAGGTGAATTTCTTTTTTTCAGTCTTTATCGCAATTATTCCTATCCACTTACTTGGTCAAATGTAGGCGAACCCTCCTGGAGTTGACTTCCGAGGGACAATATACAAGTTCAGAGAGACAAATAAAATTTCGTCGTTGCTTGTTTACGCACTCCATAAAACGTGAAATTAGGCACTTTCACGTCGTAGTCGTGCAAAAACGGGCAAAGAAATGTACAAAAAAGCGTGATGCACGTGCAAAGTTGTTGTTTTTCTCATAAAAAAAACTATTGTTTTTTGACGTTCTCGTCGCCGTCCGCGTCATTGGATCTTAAAGTCCCTAATGCCGTGGTGGCGGGAACAAGTTATCAAATGTAAGAAGTTTCAGTATCATTTTGCTATCGGGAGAGGGCTTAACATCTTTAGGTATAAACAACCATTCGGTGAAAAAAAAAAAGGTAAAATGAAGCTTTCTGGGGTGTCTCTTTTTGACAACACATGCAAAAACTTTAAGTTAAATCTTCTACTCGTACTCGTTCTCGTCCTCAAAGCTAAAGCTCTCTGATAAAAAAAAAATGAGATTACTTTCGCTGCTATGTCCAAACGAGTGCGTTTCAGTTTGTAATCGCATACAAACTTTTCCGCTCACGGTTTCAGTCCACAGGCAAACAACTTAAACGATTATTGTAAACGGTAAGCGTATAAATTAATTATGTTTCTTGTGTGTGAACCAAAGGGGCAGTAGTTGCATGACTTTACAAATTAAAAGGACTTGTTTGCGCGCATAGCCCAAGGTCAAAGAATTCGAGTTACGTCTAGAAACAGATACACTGCGTACTTAATACTTTTTGTTCAGTAACAGCCGAAACAACGGAGTTCGTGTTTTCGGCGAACTCAGTCAGGAATCACCCCTTCATCAGCGGTTGCCCGTTCGCGCACAAAAACCTTTATGGAAGTCGTAAATCTAATGCGGTATTATTCTAATTACTAAAAACATCAATCATTAAATCAAACAAGCCCACAATTTCGAAACGTCGAAAGCTTTTGGAATACTTAGTATCTACCACAGATATCTTTGACAGCCTTAGGGGATTTCCAGGAAGTTTTTGATTGTCAGCTTAAGAAGCCTTGGACGTCTTCGAGATATAGGGGTCAATTTCGGACATCAATGACACAATCGAGTCACACCACGTAATCGATGCTCCTACAGCGCACAATAATAAGTACTCAAAAAGGTTAAAAGATACACTTTATAGAGACAGAACGTACCGACACCAAAGACTCCAGTCTAAGTTTATGACATCCAGTCATTGGAGTGTCAGTGTGCTTCCACGACCCTTTGGCCAAAAGATTGGGCAACTTGCTGATAAGGGACCAAAATCGGCGCGAAGCGTTTGGCATGGCTTTCCGATCAATTCGAATATCTCCGATTCCCTGTTAACAAAGACAAAAGGCCGGTGACCGTATTCATAACAAATACAGTGAAACACCAACACAAAGAATGGTCAAGGGACTAGAATAAGCACTCGCTATAACAGGGTTATGTTAAGTCTTTCTGGGGGCGAAAGTCAAAATGCACAGATCCCAAAGTGAAAAATCATTTAAAAATAATGGCACCATGTGACATTACGTCCAAAGAGGTTTCACTTAAATGGCAATACCACAATACTTCGTACACAGATTTAAAAGTTAGAGAGTCGAATCATCCCTCGCCATCGTGACTTTGTCTAGGAGTAAAAAGGTTAAACTGGGGTGCCCAACCGTACATTCACGGTAACTGTGACGAGAATGGCATTTGTCATACCGGAATCTTCGTAATACAGAGTCTTGTTATATCGGGTTGTATAGTAACTTGGAAAGCAGGTCAATGCAGAGTTCCGACTGTCCACACCACTACATGCTTAAAATTTAAGAGTTCTTTTGTAATGTAAACCTTAATCATATTGATAACCTCAGCCTTAGAAGGACGTTTCTAAACTTAAACTTACAGTCTCGCACTCCTTTGTCCAAATATACAGCAATCCAAGTCGACAGGCCTGCGAAGGATACTAAAAGCAAACACTGATTAGAAAAGGTCTCGTGAACTAATTAAACAGGCAATAGAGATGAGAAGTCGTTTACGTCACGTTGCCATGGTAGCAAAATGTTTGAATGACAAGAAACCGAAAACGTCACTTAAAAAGTGAATTTGCACAGCTTCAAACTTCATCGATCTTATTCAATTTCATTTAATTTGGCAAATGTTGGCGAAATTTCCTCGGGTTGAACCCGAAAGGACCGTATATAAGTTTAGAAGAGGAAAAAGACAACTTTTGTGTTGTGCTCACCTACTCCATAAAGCAAGCGTGTGAAAGTAGGAAGTTCCATGTCGCAGTCGCGCGACGACGGCTAAGAAATGTACAAAATGGCGTGATGCACGTGCAAATTTGTTGTTTTGTCAATAAAAACCTTTTACTTTTTTGCCGTTCTCCTTCCGTTGCCATTGTCGATAGTTTTATTATCATCCAGAAATAATGCTACCATGGTGATCTGACGTCATACTTCTCCTCTCTATTACTTGTTCGGGTTTCTGGTCTCTGACACCCTTATTATATTATCCACAAAATAGCCTGAAGCATACCTTTGAAATCCACTCTTCAATGCTATGACCTGAGTCGATATCCTGTATGCAGTCCACAATGCAAGATTGAAGAGATTCGTTCATGCTCTTCAAGAGTGCAGCGAGCCATACGTCCACGCCAGACACAAGAGGAACCTGTAACAAAACCATAAAAAATATACCTTAATAAAGCTTCTCAGTTCCTCAAAAGATTTGAACGATTGTATAGAGTGTTTTCACCCACGTGGCGTGCATCTATGCAAATTTATTACAACAAAAGAAAGCGTTTGCATGAGAAAAGAGTTCAATAACCCAGAGGATTGGTTTGGGACACCAACATGGCCGCCGTTTCATTGTTTTGGGACACCAATATGGCCGCTGAGACGTCATGTGAAAACGCTCTATACTGGCATCGGGTAGTTTTGTAGAAATAACATAGAGCTACGCTATGTAAGTCAGCAACTATTGACTGCTTTTTACACTTCTCTCTCGCTCGAAATTCTCTAACTCCTGTACTTTATACAATATAATTGAGCCCAATGAAAATAATTAAAATTTACAGCTAAGAATAATTTTTAGTATATAAATCATGATAATAAAATTCAAAGGTTTTACGTTTCCGGTGAGCTCAACAAGATTTAAAGAAGCTATGTCATTCTTGGAAAACCATATGAAATTCAGCCTTAAGTTTTTAAGTTAGTTGTTTGCAATCCATGCTTATTTCCTCCATCCTAAAACATCTTCAATCATTGTTATTGAAATTTCGTGTTTTTCTACTTACTTTGAGGTTTCCTTGTCTCTGAGGTAGGTAAATAGGTAGGTAGGTGGGTAGGTAGGTACAGTAGGTAGGTGGATAGGTACGTACGTAGGTAGGTACATCGGTAGGTCAGTAGGTAGGTAGGTAGGTGGGTGGGTAGGTAGGTAGGTGGGTAAGTAGGTAGGTAGGTAGGTAGGTAGGTAGGTAGGTGGGTAGGTGGGTAGGTTTTTTGGGTAGGTGAGTAGGTCAGTAGGTAGGTAGGTACAGTAGGTAGGTGGGTAGGTACGTATGTAGGTAGGTACATAGGTAGGTCAGTAGGTAGGTCGGTGGGTAGGTGGGTAGGTGGGTAGGTAGGTAGGTCAGAAGGTAGGTAGTTGGGTACGTAGGAAGGTAGGTAGGTAGGCAGGTAGGTAGGTAGGTAGGTGGGTAGGTGGATAGGTAGGTAGGTAGGTAGGTGGGTGGGTGGGTGGGTATGTAGGTAGAAAGGGTAGGTAGGTAGATAACGCCGCACACGATTCGGTGAGGCCCACTAAGCTGGAGGTTAACCCGGTCCCTGAAGCATGAAGCACCTGGGAGTATTTTTACTTCCCCTCAGGAGGCGCAGGGTTATCTTCAGCAGTATATAGCTGATACCCATTGATAGATCGGTGGTAGTTTCTTGGTGACAAGCCTTTCAGTCGCGTTGTTGTTTTTAGAAGAAGAAACTCTACTCCACTGTCTCTCTTTACCCAGGTGTGAGCCCGAATCTTATTAAGACCCGGAGTTGGAGGTATAACGACCCGGTCAGTAGTCCTACACTAGGTTGCAATGTACCGTTAAAGAGGTTTAAAACTCATTAAACGTTACAATCCCCTCACCTTTGTTTTTAGTTCCAAAGTTTCTCCCTGTTCTGAAGTGACAGCCACGGCAACATTTCTGGGCAGATGGCTGTGCCAGTCAGGTTCCGTTTGACGCGCATCTGTAGTTGAGGTCAACATACTTGACCTCCGCACACCAGCATCTGTTTCCTTGGAAGCTTGCATAACCATGTCGGAAATCTTCCTGAATCTCGCAAAGTCATGGCTCGGAATGGGAGAGCTTATGTCCTCTCTGACACTCCTGTTTCTCAACGCAGAACTGAGCATGGTGCTCCTTTTCAGTGAAACCGGTTCCGGTTCTTGCTGGGTTAAAGTCACATCATGAAGACTACTGAAGATGCATCTAAATGGCACAAATCAAAGTGAGAAGGATGACACATTTCGAATCTCTTCGACATAAGTGAAACCTGAGTGGGGTTCGTGATACACAAATGAGGTTCCTGATAAACCAATCACTAGCAACCACGGTAATACTAATATTCCTACTCAGTAAATCGACACCATCGCCTGATAAAGACCTAGAGTACGTTAAATGTAGTTCAAAATCTCATTAATAATTCATAAGGAAAAAAACAAAAGAAATTCTAAAATGTTTAAAAAACCAAAAAAATGCACTTTATTTGAGTGTCAATGTATTTAGCACTAAAGTACTCACTGGGGACAATATTTTTACGTCTATTTTTACGTCTGCTACTGGCGACGGGACCACCATTTTACGTGGTCATCCGAGCCACGTGAAGGTCCAGCCGCCTGCAGGGCAAAGGAAGTACCTTCATTTCTTAGTTATTTTAAGACCCTGAGTATTGGTCGGGCCCGGGAATCGAACCCACGACCTCCTGCCCTGCAGTCAAGCGCTCTACTGACTGAACTAATCCTCCCACGGTTAATGAGTGTCTTTGTACCTGATATATAGACACGGCTAATCTTTACGTCCAATTTTTTAGACCAAAATAACCCCAAATCTAAATATAAGTGCAAGAATGAGTTGATCTATATCAGAGATTTTGAAGCCGTTCAACTAACATAACCTTCGAACTCTTTAGTTTTCCAAATTATACCTTCGTGTGTTGAAAACCGGCGAATGGTATACTTACTTAAAGTGTGGTTTCACAGAATCCAAGCTGTAGGGCTGACTTAATATGGCTAATAACACAGGATCATTCACAAAACAGAAGCGAGGAAAAGCCTGCAATAGGACAGAACCACATCAATATGCTTACCTGCAAGACTTCTATGTAGCTTCATTCGAAACTGTACCAGGAGTCATCATTCATGATTAGGATCAAAAGGAAAAACTCTTAACAGTTGCAATCATGTATCCAAACCGAATACAAAAAGGTACATTATTGTGGTTTAAACATTGATTTATTTATTTCAGTTACAGTTATTTATTGTGGTTTTACAGCCCAAGTTGGAGGTCAAACACTCTGTGAATCTTAAGTTTACAAATGTTCCGCTCCTCATTACATTACTTAAATACTGTACCCACCTTTCGCTTTGAATCCAAAAACCCCACGAGCGACTTGAAGCAGATTTCCAGCTCTTCACCAAGATGCTTTAACATTTGACTTTTTGGTACATCACCACCAACACAGCACTAGGAAAAGACAATTGAAAACATTGCCAAGGCTACCCATAATCTAAAAAGTCTGTCCACTGTCACTTGATGATGTCTGATGCAACTATTGATAAATTTTTGGATGTTTTTTTCTTTTTATTTCTGATAGCTTCCACTTCAACCTGGTAGCCATGATGAAAGAGGGAGTTACGAGGTTTTTATGGAGTTAATTTGTCTGGTTGTTTTTGTTGACTTCGTTTCATTTTTCTTTTTTTCGTAACATTTCTTCAACTCCCGCAACCCTTGCATTGATGCAAACTGTCTTCCCCCTGACTCGTGCACTCAGCTTCAATTGTTGAAACACCTCAAACCACAAAGAACAGGCGCCCTGGAATTTCTGCAAACTGGACTAATGCTCTTTGGAAGGGGGTGAACTGGGGGCAAGCTGGGTTGATTACTTAGAAAATGCGACGCGAGGCGTTTTTCTTTTTTTTTAAATTCTAGAACCAAACAATAACGGGGGCATCGTGGTATATCTACAAGTACCGTTTCTTACCAAACGAGCAGTGTAAGATGGTAATGTTTACCAAGTTTATTTTCCCACTTGCTTATTTCACGAGCGACCTTCTATAAGTTCAGCTGAATAATTACCTGCAGTACATTTCTCGTTTCATAAGCTCTTTTCATCATCTTCATATAACTCTTATCCACTCTTGCAAAACGGTTGTATTCTTGGGGAAGATCCTACAAAACAATTGGTTAACACAACTCTAAATGGATGTTACAGACTACATACACTTGGCCAATTCAAACACTCTGTGCCAGCGCTGCTGTTAGCCTAAGGAGGTCTATTACGCCCTTGTGATATACAACTCAATCTGCGAATGTATGATCCAGGTGTCGCAAGTAGGTATGACGGAGCAGCTGTGGACACTTTCAAATAGTCCTTGTAGAGTGGTTTCCACAAGGTCCCAGAGTAGCAAATAACAGTTGACAATCGGACAATGTCTGAAGAAAATTTGACAAGTCCAACGCGATACTACCTACGGTCAGACTTGATGACTGGATAGATCAAAGACAAAAGACTATCATTTCGTAGCTAAAGATTCACACGGTAATCAATTAAAAGAAATTTGAAAAAAACTAATTTACTTTCACAACCTTTTCTGGTTTCTTCAACTAAAATGGTTACCTCAGCCGGCCATATGCCCTCTCTGAAGGAGAAAACTTAACTATTTGTTGCTCTTAGTGTTCGTCATGCAAGGGTAAAATCATTTACTACTATCACAGTATATTCTATATTCAAAAGTACCTTGGCTGTTCCACTATGGCTGAACACCTCCTCAAGGTGTTGCCACAAATCTTGCACTGTCAACCACTACAAACAAAAGAATCGGGAAAATCTACATGGCAATCATGGTAAAAGAAAAAGTGAAACGCCATATAAAGGGGGTGTGATAGAAGGATACGCTACTGGGAATAGAGGAAGAACATACTACTCACTAAACTAGGGGAGGTGGTCAAAACTATTGCTTCCTTTTCGAGGGTTGCCCAATACACACGACTAGATCCCACTGGAAACACGAATAGCTTCCACTGGACTCCCTCATTTCTATTCGTGTACGACTTAAAATTATATCAATCACATTATATAAAGTGCTTGACACGGGTCATAACGTAAATAACTAGCAAAAGCTACTGATCAAGTTACTGATTTTGTGCAGCGTTAGGAAAATGTCTAATTACTTTTTGACGTTGTCTCTCATTTCTTTGTAGTCATCTTAAAGAATCAGGTGTATTACATGTGGATAGGGTGCTTGTCTCGGGTTATGGCTTAAAGAACGAGGTATTTTGTACATTAGACGCCCGGTAACTCCAGTGGATTATAGTTGTTGGCGAAAGTAACCTGGTGGAGTTTGCCGGACATTGTTGATTCAAATGTCCCTGTGATGTTTGTCTGACACTGCAAGCTGCACGCACACACATTGTTTTGTCATCGACAATTTTTAGGCCCAAAATGTGGTGTCTATCAGAATCAACAGATAGGTGGTGCCTTGTACAGCACCCGGTTGTTCAAAAGGTGGATAAGTATTAGGGAAACCAATTGCGCTATCACGTGGATAGTGCTTTATCCAATATATAGCCCTATCCACCAACTGGCGTCAGACCTCTAACCCTTGCCAGGAACATTCCCTGTCGAGCACACTTGTTTGACCACTGCCCCGAGGAGTGCTTCGCTACAGCAATAAATCTAAACAATTTGTCTGCGTTTTGAATGCAAGAAGAAATTAACGCTTAAACAAAGGAGAACTATGAATAATTAGATTACATCTGTCCTGACCATAGATGCCTTCCAATGCCAAAAATGCTGTTATTTGCTTTCAGAACAAAGCGTTTTATTTTCTTCTAACCTGTTCAGTCTTACCTGTTCCAGGACTTCACTGATCTCTTTCAACTTGATAGCCCATGCCGCTGCCTCATCACGAAGTGGACCTATGTGACGTGACGTAAGCATCAAAGCAAGGGTGGCCTGTGCATCTTCCAAAAGGTCCAACAGGTGTTCGGTGTTACTGTGGCTCAAGCAAACTAAACCTCTGTTCTTGAAATTCTCAAATGTGAGAACCTGTACACAACAAAAGATAGCATCGCAGTTTTATGCGCGTAAACTCTACCTTAACAGACAGCTCTACAAGATGGATACCTCGCAAACTTAGACACCTAAAAAGGTCCGTGTCTTTCTTTACTCCTTTAAGTTGACTCTCTAAGGGACGGACTTCCCTAAACAATATCAGGAAGGACGGCAGTGTTATATGTCAACTCTCCCTTAAAGGACACCTCAATAAGACAACATCTCACTAAAACGGACATGTAGGGTTGGTCCCTGCCTTTCTTCTCCCCTTTTCACTGACTCTCTTTACGAAGGCCATCTCGTAAGAAGGATAAGTAGCGGTCTAAAGGGCGTGTATCTTAGAGAGAGTTCGATATGTAGACATCCAGGGAACGCATATCAATTGGTGTTTATATTATCTGCAAAAAAACGGGTAGCGACCATAAGAACAGCAAGGTCAAATAAGTAAAATCGAACAAACATTTATTAGCTTGCTGGGACTGAATGAAGATAATAATAAAATGTGTAAGTAGTATACGTTAATATGAGGGAACATAATGTAATACCAGATCCAGGGGTGGATGGAGACGAAGTTGCGACACTGTCATGAAAAAATAAGAACCTCGGCTAGGATACAAATGGTAAACAGGGATCGAAAGTGAACTGTGTAAGTAGTATATACGGGTACAAATAGGGCTACCTTTCCATTGTGCCGGTTCTAAAAGATATAAGGTCAAAATGCAAAGGATATACTGCGTGGTACACCGAACCTGCTCTGTCCACTCTTCTTCGGTGCTCCTCATTTTGGCTTCCAGCTCCAGTTCTCTGCTTGCACATCTGCAGATTTCCTCAATGGCCGCCTGGTGTCTACAAACAGAAAAATGGTAACAATGAATTATCGTTAAGAGTGCGCGTAATTAACAACGTTTGTTAATTAAAAGGACAATGGTTTGACTGAATGGCTTTATAAAAATACTTTAAAATACAGTACTTTAGTTATCCTGAGACCTCCCGCAAATTTACGTCAGGAAGAAACTACCGATCATATCCAAAAATTTAAACCGCATATCCACGGAATGAACAAAAATCCTTGTCCAAAAAGAGAACCTTCAAACGCAAAATGGAACAATGTACTTTCTAACGGTAACTTACTGAAGTAACCCAATGTCCAGTAGATGAACGAGCTTAAAGATGTGCGCTTCAAGCTGGAATGATGATCCAGTGACGCTCATCACTTGCAGCCAATGACGATTCCGTATTTCCTGTAAAATTAACAATATCGTGAAAAGAGTATTACTAGAGAGTTTTGCTCAATTTCCTCAGCATTTGCTGATTATACCTTTTCCACGAAGCCTGAAACCCAGTATACAAAAATGACAAAAACTGCTCTACGAAACAGTAAGTAACACTTTTTATAGGGATTAAACGCAGGATTCATGTCAAAAAGAGGGTTGCGCATGATGATCATAGATAAGTGTCGTCTTGAAAAACAGTGATGTCGATACACAGTTCAGCTTGACTATGATGACGACTTCTGCAAAAGTTATTAAAACGTCAGCCACTGTCACCAACAAATGTAAACGGGACTACATTCACGTGGGCGGATATGTAATAGCAGATAAGTGTTAAAAGTTTGTGAAAATGTCTGTATAAGACTTTCTGTGAAAGGTTTGAACCCAGGAGTCATTTCAAAGTAGGTTGAGTTTGATCGTCCGGGGTGAAAGTAGTCCTGAATAGGACTGTTGAGACTAAGACTAAGTGAAAAATAATTACGGTGCTTTGTATGTTTGTTTGTTTGTATTTTTTTGACTTACCCTTACGGCATATTGCTTGCCAAGTAAAGCTTCCTACCTTGGAATTGAGTTTGTGCAGAGTTGGAAAAACGTCTAAGTAGTTTTTGATGGCATCTCTCATTTCTTTGTAGGCATCCCACTCTTGTATTCTTTGCGGCAGACGAAGGCATTCCTGCCAATAATGCTCCATCTACGAAAAAAGGTTGGGTTACACACAAAATAATGAACGCCAAGGGCAATGACAGGCTAAATTCACTTCAACGTTTAGGCATTTTCGGGCCGTATAATATTTCGATCGACAAACTCACGGAAGTAAGGGGGTTTGAAAATGTTCGCCTAAGTGTAGAGGTTAAGAAAAGTAGGGGGCAGTGGTGAGGGATTGTGCTTGATATCATGGCTTCAAGGTCCTCACATAGAATCCTGTGGAAAAATGGAAGGTCGAAAGCGCTAACAAGGAGCCGGACGGTGTGTAATGGGACTCCGGGGATGGAATACATGTGAGGAGGCAAGGTTAGAAGCTAGATACAGGTTGAGATGGAGGAAGTGTACCTCAGACTTATGTGCAACTGAAAAAGAAGATAGGTAATGTGATGACTAATAAATAAGATTAATAACATAAACGTTTAACTACTCTATGACAGGAGTCATTTAATGCAGAAAACGAAAGGATAAAAGACACTATTAGAGCCCTCTCATAATTTCCCAAAGAATGCAAGTTCAACAAGTGTTACATGTACGGTGACTAAACTAATTCACCGACAAACGCCTAACAAAATATCACAACCAAAATAAGGAACAAATTGCAAATCAAGAAACGTGAACTATATTTACCAAAAAGACCAGCCAGTTTTTCAAAAAGCGTTTAATTAGCTTTACATATCATCTTATCAAATACAAGGCACGGTCTGAAATAATTCATCTGGCACAGTCCGTACTGAATGCAAACAAGAAAAAGAAAGCAAATAAGAACAGCCGGATCAGCCTTGGTTTACAAGTTGTTGTTTTACCTCCTGGTTTGCTACTATGAGGTCCACTTCTGACCACAAGGTATCCCTAAACCTAAACAGGTAAAGACAACAAAACTGGTCAATACAACTTGTACAACACAAATGGACTAGTTACTGTCTTTTACTCCCAGAGTTGGCCACAGTCAAACCTCAAGAAACGTTTTTCATTTCATTTTGATAAAATGCCACAAAAATTGGAATACCAAGTGAAAATACTGCTAAGAAGAACTCAATTGAATGGTGACACCATAGGGTTTCATTCACAGTCTCAAAAGTTAAGGCCACAAACTAACTAAAACACAGTCAAACCCCATTAATACTGACGGGGCCATAGAAAGTCTCTCCGTATTAACGAAGTGTCCGTATTAAACAGTTAGAAGAGAAAATATCAGGGCTTTCTTTCCCCAGGGAAAAAGTACAATGTCCGTAATAATCAGGTGTCTGTAGAGAGGGGTTTGACTGTAATGTCCATTTGAGAAACTACGCAAATTTGTGTTAAACCTGAGAACCCAAACCAAAATAACCATCGAATGTACCCACCTCTGATCAAAAGAAATAAACTGCTGAAATAGACCATACAGTAAGCCAAGAAGCTCCAACTCCTTTGAAGAGAAAAGAGAAACGGTCTTAATGAGATCAACGTCAAGGCACCACCAAATAACATTTGGCGAAAATGCTGAAACACTTTGACGAAAAAAACGGCCTGTTTTTAAGCCACACATATGTGAGATGTAACACATGCTGCCTTCTCCCTTCCATGCAAAGAAGGCGTTCACAAGCACGTGATTATGGACAGGCCATTTAAACCCAAATAAGGTACAGCGTCTCAAGTTATTCTCACCTCTCCTGTCTTATCCAGCTCAGGGAAAGGCGTAGGAACAATTCCAAAGAGGAGCTGGACAGAATCCAGAGTCTTTCTCTTAGCTTCAAACTGGGTGTAACGCTGTTGGAAATCATGAAGTCTTGTAACAGCCTCAGCTGGTCTTACTCCAGGTACCCCGGGACCCTGTGAGTCAAAGCTATTACGAAACTGGATCACATTCACTACAAAACCCTGAAAAAAGAAAACACCAGCATAATTTTTCATTTTTTTCAGTTGCTAAGGTATAGCTGTTAACAAGGGCTCACCAAGGGAGCTGGTGCCGTAAACTGGACTTTAGTCTGTTCTTTTCATGTAGCATCCAGAATCAGGCTGGTGATTGGTTTTTTAAACAAGAAACTGATTGGATGATTTATCTACTCTGTGTTGTGAAAGGACAACTTGATCCTGTTTTCAGTTTCAAAGATGAACATAAAAGCGCGAAAGAACATGCATATACTGAAATGCAGTTTCAGTGGGCTCTGCACAGTATTATTCAATAGTCATGAGAACTATAACACTGCATACAATACATGCAAGTGCACTAGAAAATTATACAAAAAGTAACAATATCACAAACTTGTTAGCAGAACTCTAATAGGTAATAGAGGTCATGGAAGGAACAAGTGTAACTAGTATTTTTGCTCAGATTAGAACATCAAAGTCAAAATACTACTTGCTTTATGATAAATCTCACTCAAAAACACACACAACTTTAATTCCATTTTCAATTCTGTTACAAATTTTGGCTTCACCAGCTAAAACGTAGCAAAAATAGGAACTGGACACCCTGAAACAGCTGAGGTCATTTAAAATGGTGATGTCCTTGGTTTGTCTTCTCCCAGAGCGTCAATGGACCATGTCTACCTCTCATATCACCTAACCAGCCCAAACTGAACAACATCCGCAACAAAAAATTGATCGCGAGATTTTAAGAGGAGTAAATGAAAATTCATCACTCTTGCTTTATAATTACCTTCACTTCTTTGTCTACCTCTTGTTCAAACATTCCTCGCTTTCGAACCAATAACTCGTCTCGGACCTAAAAGTAAGTACAGCAACATCACAATGCAATGGAAAACAACAAGGGAGGCTATCTACAGTAATACGAAATTATGTGAAAGCTCACAAAATGTTTCATTGAACTCACTTTTTCGGCTAATTCCATTAACTTGATCCACTCATCACGCAGATTGTCAACTTCTTCTACTTCCCTTCTTGGAAGATATAGATTGTACTCCCTGCCCAGACAAACGGAGATGCAAAAGAGAAATCTAAATCATTTACACATTAGGGTTATAGCAGAGGGAGGGGACAAACGTCCTTAAAAGGGGAGACTACATATAAGACCGGGGGGTTAGTTGGGTTAATTTTTGCTGAGTAGGCGCCGCTGGCCTCTCAGAACCCCAACCCGATTATAGTCTACTATGTGGCCATATTATAGACCCCATCTTAGTCACTTTTGGAAAACAGTCAGGGCCGTAGCCAGGAAGAAACTACAACCGAGGCGAACACACGGTTCGTTGTACGAAATCAGCCGTATGAAATCTTCTAATATTATCAGTCTGATAAAAAAAAATAAAAATCGACAGTATTTGGTAAAATTTTACCGAGGCGAGTGCCTCGGTTCGCCTCATACTGGCTACGGCGGTGACAGTAATTTTGGCAACCACAGCTTATTCAGTAGAGTGTCCCAACAATTTTGACTGAGACAACAGTTTAAATCAAAATTAGCCTGAAATTAACTTTGCACTGTAAAAACTACGCATTTGTCAAGTACAAGGATGAAGAAAAAAGGAATGGTCTTTACTTAGAAGCATACTCATTTTAAAAGACATGTGACCAGAGAGAATTGCCGTAAATTTTCAAATTGGCGAATTAGCGTATCAATTCTACTCACTAAACACCTTACATTAACTTTGTGTGCAACTTTGTGTCATAGTTTTAACTGTGGTAGCTTTGTTAACCGATGATCGCGTCACAATCACAGTTTAAGTCACTATCCTCAGTTTAAGGTGTGCAGAAATCTCTGTTTGTGAGGTACCGTATTTATTCGAATAAGCGCCCAACCTCGAATTAGCGCTCACCTCGAATAAGCGCCCATCCTAAAGGCAGAAAAAGTTAATAAGCGCCCAGCCTCGAATAAGCGCCCACCCCACCCCACTCCCTCCCACAAAAACTCCAATAAGATATAATAAGAGACCCTCCCGAGGACGGAGTTTTCTTCAGGTAGTATTGTACAGAAACCTTGCTTTGTTACATCTTCGCTTTTTGTTATTAGCATTTACTGTTTTGCTGCAAAATATACTACTACACTTGCTGAGAATGGTGAAAATTTAATAAGCGCCCTGCCTCGAATAAGCGCCCACCTCGAATAAGCGCCCACTCTCAAGGTCCAAAAATTTATTAAGCGCCCAGGGCGGTTAATCGAATAAATACGGTAGTACCTTAACTTTGCGTATATATTCTCCACTGGTAGATAGATGTCATCAATAGTGTTTTCCATGTCTCCCAGTTCTTGAAGAAGTTGAAAGGCACTATTCAGCTCATCTAAAGTGACAACTGGTTGTGAAAGACGTTCATAAATGCTGTTCCTGTGCGTAACTATCTTATCAAGTTCAATCTAAAAGACACCAAATAAAACGCATTTCGTATGCTTCGACTTGTGATAAGTGCCGTCACAGAGTTCTATCAGCCTGGGAAGCTTAGTAATAAAGTGAAGAGTTCATCTAAGGCTACAAATGACAGAGGCAATGGCCAACCAAAATGTGCTAACGCCAGAAATATTCATACAACCGTGGACGGGCAATTTGACATCCACTTAGTTCAACGATATTTTTCGATAACCGATCGCTTAGCCAAAGGCGTATAGGTCCTATCACAAAAGCGTATCAGGGAGCTTAAGCAACGGGGGCGACGACGGCGGCAATAAAAACATCGCAAAAAAATGAATTTGCGTCTTTACAAACTCTATCGTGTCTATTTGCTAAAATGTAGGCGATTTTTTCCTGGAGTTGAATTCTTAAGCATTTTATCCTGGGTAAAAAAGAGAAAGAAAAATTTGTCGCCGTACGTTCACCAACTTACACGTCCCAATAGAGGGGGGTTCACGTTGTAGTCGTAGACGTCAAAGAAATGTACTAAAAAGCGAGACGCACATGCAAAGCTATTGTTTTGCTCATAAAACCAATTGTTTCTTGACGCTCTCGATCTCGTCTTCGTTGTGGTTGTTTAAGCTCTCAATTATAATAATTGTTGATTCTCGGTCTAGCGGTTACTATTAAGCCGTGGCTAAGCTTCCATGTTGTCTGAACAATCCGACCCTGGGATATTGAAACAGCTACATTACACGTAACTATATTGGCTAACTATTGTTTCTTCGATTTAAAGGCTTACACGACCAGTCAGTGACTTCTTATTGCATAAAGAGCTTCATAATACGTTTATCGTGGTATTACATGATAAAACAGGGCACTGTACCAACAACATCACCAGTTAACAAACCTTAGCCTCCTCATGTAACTGAGTTGAGTATCTCATTTTCCAAGCCACTGCAAAGCCATGCAAAGAATCTTTAATAGGTGAAGTGTTTAAGCACACTGAGCCAACAGTCAACCTTCCAGGAATTTCCAAGACATCCTGCTCTATGGACTGCAGTCTCTCAACCTCGTATTTGAACATGGTTGTTCCAGGGTCACTGTCAACAAAAGCCTGATACAAGGCATGCATGTCATCTTTCCAAAGGAAGTCATATCGACGAAACTTGAACAACTGCCTCAACTGTTTCAACCTGTTAAAGTTTGCTGTGAAGTGGCCTTATCATTAAGGTTAAAGTATATGTCATTTAATTTTTGGGAAGTGAAAAATATACTGATGAAAGATTTTGATCGACAGGTAAAATGTGACGTTTTCGTTAAACATGAACGATTGAATACAACCTTAAAATTTACTTTTGCTCAGTTTTAAACATTAGATGTTTGGAACCATTTGAAACTTATTTGACCAAATTTTAACAGACGGGTTTTCAGATAATCATTAATATAATTGTATTGCAATTATTAAATGTATCACAAAATTCGTCTGTTCAACCATTTTAAAGTTCTCATTATTTAGAATACGATAAAAGTGCCAAATTCAAAATTTTGATTAATAGAAGAAAAAACCATTGCTTTTTCGCCGCCATGTTTGTTTGTCTAATTTATCACGCGAGTTGGACAAAACTGTGTTCAGCCACCTTAAACAGATGTTTGGAATAGTGAAATGGGCGATAATAGCACCAAGTTAGACTACAATAAAGTATTCAGAAGAAAAGTGGATGGCATTATCAAGTGGACAAACTCCTACCCAAAACATCTACATATGCCTATGTGGATATACTGTTCAAAATATTTAACAATTATTCGAGACGAAAACAATTACTTTTAAGCTCACATGATAACATGACCTTAGACTGGTGATGAACAATACAACAATGGAATGAAATTACAATGACATTGAAAGCAACTGAAACACAACAGTAAAAGGTCGACTGGGGCATGAGTTTCTCTTCAATTTGTGAAGCAAAGGGTATTGAAATTCAGACTAGAGACTGATACATGTATTTAGTTCACAATCATACAAATCAACGAAAAAGGCTAAACTCTAGAAACAGTTCTCAGAAGTCTGCATATCATAAGTATGAAAAAATCTAGGAACCATACTTGTAACAGCAGAAGATAGCTCTTGTAATGACCTAATAACTTGTTCATCTTGCGCCACAGAACGATGAAAAGACTCATTTACATCTGCTGCCCACCACATAATTGTTTTAGAGACATCCACCAAATGGGCAGCAACACGCTGAACACCGCCTTGTATGGTGTGCAAAGAAGGCTTGATCACAATGTCTGGGATATTAAATTGCACATCCACTTCAAACTGAAGTAATTCTTCCAGATTACTTGTACTCCAGTCAGAAACTTGGGAATTCAAAGACTCTGGGTAATCGCTGAATTCTGATCCGTCGTCTGAGAAGGCATCCCATGAGGACCTAGACACGCGCAAGACAATTGCCATTCCATGATTACGTTAAGAGCTTAAAGGGGCACTTGCGATTGATTAGCATCCCATCTGGGGGTGGTTGGGAGTAGCAATACCCCTATGTGCTTCATGTTGCCGAAACCAGATTAAGAAGGAATCCATCAGGAAATTGAGTAGTTTTAATTTTCAGTGGACAAAAACCTTCTACCAGAATATTTTAAGTCATATTGCACTCTTTTTTCCACTTTTCAAGGGCTATAGATGAAATTACTTATCTGTAATAACACCACACACAATTTCTTATGGGAGCCTGAGAAAATAAAATTCAAATTTCACAGGAATTCAGAAAACACAGATAAATTCGTCATGCCTACGATTTCATTTTGTGAAATTTGAAGCTTTTGAAGTTTGTTTTCTCGGGCTCCCACAAGATCCTTTTCTTTGAAGTTATTTCATATAACTTATTACATTATAAGCACTCGAAAAAATGTAAAAAAGAATGAAATATGCTTGAAATTATTCTGGTACAAAGTTTTTGTCTCGCACTGAAAATTAAAATGACTCAATTTCCTAATGGAATCCGTTTTAAGGTTTGACCGTTCGGGCTCCCTTATACAGTGACTGACGTCACCAGGACGCATTTTCCACACCTCAAACATGACAGAAATGTCTCAGGCTGTTATGCCATGGAAGGTCGACAAACACAAACTGAAACTATTCACGGCTTCTATTTAAGGCTGAACTCGTTCTGCTTCTTCAAGGTAACCTTAACAAAAACATTGCCCAGAGATTTTTCTTCTCTGATTTTAACTTTGTTTGGTAAACAAACAGGCCAATAAGTCGAGGCAGCGTTGTTTGTAAAACAGAAGAAAAAAACGTTGAAGCACTGGTTTCGCTTCATCTTTTCGTCCTATGTCTCTAAAAACGCTCACACTAGACGTCTTGGCCTCGACGTTCCCAAAACGTGCAAAAACCGGTTATAATCACGTTTGAGGCATGAAGCTTTCAAAGAGCTTGAACTGTATCTATTATCATCAAAATAAGAGGATGGATTGACCTAATCGAGTTGTCTGTAACGTTTAGTAATAATAATGATTGTGGAGACACGAACATCAAGCAATAGAGCTGTCAAATTGCAACCTTTTAAAAGGGTCACCCATTTATTTCAGAGCTGCCACTAGCCAGTACCCAGTTATTAGATGTATGGACGAAAACAATAAATTGTAAAGTTGAAAAGTAGTCAATGAGACAATTGGCACGGTAGCATTTCTGTTTTCATGACAGGCTACTACTCTTCTGCAGTTTACTTAACAAAGCTACAGGACAGGACAGGACAGGACAGTCGATAATTTGAAATAGAATCACAGCTACAAACCGTGAGGTCTTCCTGCTTTGCACGTCAATCCCACTCTGCATTCTTCCAGGGGGTTTCACACAATCACCAATTACAGCAAGAGAGGACACAATGCACTCCAAAACTGCTTGATATACAAGACTACAGTAGTAGCCAAAGATGTCACCAATGACAGTCTCATCAGTCAAACCACTCACAGCGGTTGCTGCTCGCGTCCCAGGGGCAGAAGACATAATGGTGCCGATTCTTGTCAGACGAGGGGTTAGTATTGGACCAGTTTTATCCAAACCGTAACTCATGCTTGGAGCGGGTGTGATCTGAGGACTTGCAGGCGAGGAAATACGTCGCTGGTTTGCAAGAGCAATAACTTCCTACAGGAGGAAAGATTTAGGAATACATTTAGACGGTGGACAGCTAATTTTGAGCAAGTCCACAATACAGTCCTCTATGGCTGGTATACAGTTGAACCTCTTCACAACGGCCACCTTGGGGACAGAAAAAAGTAGTCGTTGTAGAGAGGTTTAAACAAGAGTCAATGTATGGACTGTCCGCCAACTAAGTGGCCGTTGACTTGTGGAGAGGTAACCGTTAGTAGAGGTTCGACTGTCATCAAATTTCGACCCTCCCCACCATAGAGCCTCCAGTAACTCAGTGGTTAGTGCATCCGATCTACAACTCGCAGAGTCTTGAGTTCGAGTCTCACCTGGAATTTACAATTTTTTCTGAACTTTGTGGTGTTTGATTACTCTTTCTGCCTAATTAACATTTTTAATTAGTGACTTTTTGGGATGACTCTTCAGAGTTTTTGGGCAGGCTATCTGTTTTGGTCTAAGCCTGCATTCTAAAAGGATCTACCTTTATGACCCAAATGGCAGTGGGATATGCAGTAAAATGCTCTGAAGTATAAAGCCATCTTAAAATAAATTATATACTAAGGTGGTGACTAAGATAATGAAAGCGGGCATATAAAACTAATACTTATATATGCGAACAAAGAAAAAAGAACAACATCTTATTGTGAACATGTTTTTTATGCATTTTTTGTGGGTGGTCTTGAAAATGATTAGGTCAGATGTGGATAGAGGAAATCATTGCATCATTTTTTGATGCCGCCATGACCAGTGGTTTTCCTAGAAGTACGCAATGAAGCAAAACTTGGACGAAACCAAACCCACATATAAATTATGATTTACAAGTAGCTGAACATTGTTGTCACATATGGAAGGAACTAACAAACTTGGCCATGGTTACAATTGTATTTTCTGGTTCTAACAGATGTTTGCCACCCGTTTGTGCTTGTCATTGCCATCATCGCAATTAACAAACTTCTTCAAACGTGCTGTTTTGCAAACTGCAACATGGACACCCACACCGAGTTAGACCAAGAACTACATTCACTGATAGCATCAAGGCTGGCACTGGACTGAAGAATACCGAAGAAAGAGACGACTGCTTGATGCGGCCTTGTGGAAAGATTTTGTCAAAGTGGTACAGGTCGATTCCCGGCCTAAGTACATATAAGTACAGTAAGTAACTGAAAGTTTCCCTCCATCTCTCCCACCCCCCCCCTCACCCTCAGAGACCAGGTGACATTGTTCACATGTAATCAGCCTTTACGTGCATTTAAAGATGGCAGGTACATTTGTGGCCATCTTTGCATGCACATGACAGAATGATGGGTGGGTATTTTGAGTAAGGCCTATTCCTGCACCTCAGGCATTGCTTTCCTTCACTTGCACTGATAACAGGTACATGTATAGTCACATAGTTAAGCCATCTCTTTAATTTTCATCTAGGTAAGACATTCATTTACCTGTAACGCATTCTCTACTTCTTTTACCATCTCATGCAACCGGTTTCCCTGTTGAGACACGGCGTTACATTCGTCCTCAACAAACCTCTCAACAATCCAGACCCGAGAATTAGCCAACTTTTTGTCAAACAGGATCACTCTTCTAATTTCTTCAATCTTTTTCTCAATCCCCTCAGAGACAACCTGCTTGACACTGTCCACAACATCCTTAAGCCTGGCATTAGCAGAATGCACCTGGTGTAGATAGGCATCAATATTCATACTGCTCCAATTCAAAGTGGACACTCCAGGTAGAAGATAGTGTAACACCGAGTCCATGTGGGGCGTGAGTAGCTTGTAGAGGGGTGCAGGTACATCTTGGCAAACTTTGTAGTAATCCTGTAGGATTAGCTCCAGGGACTGCTTGTAAACCTTAAGGCGATGCTCCTGACAAAAGAACAAGCGCATAGGTAATAACGTTTGTGAAACAGGTTTAAATAAATCCCTAAACTGACTACTTTGGAACAACTCTGCCCCAAGCATATCAGTCAGTTTACATAATTATGACAAGCCTCATATGTAAACAGTGAAGTTCAAAGTCAGCCATCCATGAGTGGAATGTAGCAGGCTGCAGCTAAGGTGTGATGTGTCAGGGACACCCAACAACGGTTTCTTCCTAAATGCATTGAAAAGTCTTTTTAGGATATCTAGAGCTCTCTTCAAAGATCTCTTGAAATGCATTCTAAGTGGTGCTATAAAATTTGTATCTGTTTGGTCATCATAGGGGAACTTGAGTCTTTTCGAAATTACAAGGGCTTCAGTTTTATTTTAATGAAAATTTTAGATGTAATTTGACGTATTACGAAAGTCAGAATTTTAATAATCCCTCTCTTCATCACATTTTTGAAACCGAAAAATTATAGTTTTCCATTTGTCTACGAAAAATAGCCTAACCTGAGGAGAGAAAAGTGAAAAATTAAACTGTAGAAAATGGTAGGGGATTTATTAGATAAGGTTCGAAAATTGTACATGAATGGAACAGTCATCTAGAAATTTCTAGCAAGCCTTAAGTAATAGTATTTTCTAGGCAATATTTTGCTTCTCCGAATATATATTTTACAGAAAACAGTCATCAGTTGCCCTTGATGTTTAGCTCTTGTTATGATTTCTGCAAATCAGCAGTAGCGCCAGTCCTAAAAACATTCAAAATTTTGGGGATTTTCTTCCGAAAATCTAACCTTCAGTCCTACAACCTTGTTGGTGGGGAGTATATTAAATAGAATATGTAGCCCCAAATGCTCAAAATGTTGTGATCAATAAGGCTAACAATAAACTGAGCAATACATTTAAGCCATAGTGGACAACATCTTTCTCTAGAAATAAAAATTTTAAAAAATGTCCATTTAGTTGACACTTGGATGATGCCCTCTCTAACCGTACTGTAAGGGTACCTCATCAATGATATATTTCAAGCTAACATTACAAGCTGCACTTGTACATTTTGTATTCACTTTCAATTACCTGTTTTAGAACGTCTTCAGCACTTTCTGGAAGCTGTATTCCCAATCTCAGTAATGATTTGCTTTCATGAATAAGCTCAAGTAATCTGTTAGAATTATGAAAATAACATATGGTCAAACCTTAGAAAATGAAGAATTGCCAAGTCTTGTACCACTAGTTTAAAAACAGTAAAAAGCGAACCAGGAGAAATGTACCAGCAACATGTCCTGAGCTAAACGGAATTGGGAAAGTATAAGAAAAAAATACATGTATATGTGGAGGCAGATTGAATCAAGAAACTGCATAGTACAATAATGTGTCCCCTACATGTATGGAACAGGGGTTTCAATAAGCACCGACGACCGACGAAACGCGTCGACTACATTGCTCAGAGAAGTCGGCTACTTTTTCTTCTCAAGAAGAAGCAACTAGTTTGAATAATGCCATACACAAAAATATAATTTGTTCACGGAGAAATGTGTGTAACTTAGTATAATTATCATTTGTTCGATTCATTGTTTGTAGGAGTAAATTGTGTGGCTAATAAATCAAAATTTGACTAAAACCCAAATCTTCTTGAATGGAAAACTCACTCTTTTATACTCAGTTTAGTCCCCTAAACGCTGGAAATCGCTTATTAGGGCTTTGCAATAATTTTAAAATTTTCTGAGGGAGCATGCCCCCAGACACCCCTTGGAAAAGTGGACTGTTGATACAGTCGGTTAATGTATTCAAATCTGCTGGCTACTTCAATTCTTATTGAAACCCCTGATGGAATAAAGATTTTACCCTGGTTACACCATTTATCATGGACACAATTACAATAATGACTCTAAAGGGACGAATGGGGCCATTAATGCCTTACCTTCCATCAGCATTGACAACAAGTTGTCTTGTTTCAGGATGATAAGCCAGAAGTGATACTTTCAGGCCACTGCATGCATTTTCAATGCCAGACTTCCACAGGCTCAGCCAAAGGTTCTCAAACTTCACTAGTGCTGTGGCAATGCGATTGTAGAATTTGACAATGCGACCAAAATCCTGATAAAAATAATATGCCAAAACAATTAAACAGTTTAACAGGACACACTGATAGTACCATTCATAGCCTGGGTTTATGTACATGTAATTTAAATCTCCGGTTACCCAGTAGGCAAGCCATGGGTTCAGGAACCTCTCTTACCGTTAAAAGATTTATTTCTGGCAGGGCCTACATGTAGTTCAACACGTTGGCCATGTTGGTGCATCTAAATTCGCAATATTCAACTGGTTTGCACCCTCTCAGTTGGGATTTTAAACCTATTCTTTGTTTGTGTTAATTTGAGTATAGTTCCTGTAAACTAACAGGAGATTAGCGGCAAATATGCTTCCACCATAAAAAGGATTTCTTAGGAGAAGAGAAATCAGTAATGGCTTACCACAACAGTCAGTCAAATGTGTTACAAATGATAACGTTTTTGAAATGCTTCATGATAAAACAGCACACTTTCCTTCTCAAAGACTTCCTTTTAGGAGCACTTCCATAGAATTCAACCCAACTTAAATTTCTCACCCGATATGATGTGATGAACTTATTTTCTTTGAAGATCCTCATGGGATCTTCAATCTTCTTTAACAGAGCTCTTGACCAAGTTATTGCACCAGCAACAAGAGGTGAATTGCGCACAAGTGGAGGACTCTCCTAAAGAAAGAAATATTTTAAGCGAAAAGGAAACATGCTTCTGGTATGGTGTCAGTTTGACACATTGAGACACAAATGCTTAAGCTACAGTACAAGTGAGCAGATACTTGTGTTATTGAAAATGGTTTCATGAAAAAGGCCAAAAATGTTTGAAAAATGATCAGAGAGCAGGATTGAACTTAGGCAAGATGTGTGCATTGGTAAGTCTTTCATTATCATGCCCATTACACAGCAACTTACCTTCTGACTTTCATAAATTTTCTGCACACTTTCCAGCTCTGTTTCAAACCAGCCAAACACTTCAAGGTACTTTTCTGACAATACTGTTCTGAGACCTGGTCTGTTTATCACACAGTTGAAGCTGCATAAAGACAATGCACAAAGCACGTGTGTTTAGATGCCTCTGATAGTATAATGGGGTGTTCTCAAAAGTTCATCATAACTCCAAGGGGTTAAGGGTACTCTATATTTTTCACTTCAATCAAAAATTATAGCTTTTACATTTATGCCACTTGTCCTTACCCAGCTGTAAAGAAGTGAAGCAACACAATTAAGTCCCTAAATTTACATTGTATTATTTGCAGGAAATATTTCACAGCTTACAAGTAGACTTTTTCCACCAAAGTTCAAAACCTCTTCTTGCATTCTGTACATCAATAGAGATCACGGTTGTGCTCTATAGCAGTGTCCAGTGGCCCCTGGCACAATACTTTTGCTCTTGGGTGACTAGGAAATATTAGCTTTTTCATAGAGATCTTATGCTGGGCACCCTGGATTTTACAGGTTCAGAGCACTGGGCTCCCTTCAATTTCTCTTAGAGCACAGCCTTAGAGATGCATCTATCGCTGAATGTTATTGATTCTATGATCCCATGGTATACACATACTTTACATCACTTACATGTAGAATACAGTACCTCACATTTAGAGTTTAAGTCAAAATTAATTTTGTTAAAGACATAGACATAGACATAGACACTTTATTTTACATGGTAAATACAGGTGTATGCTTTAATAGCCATACGGCTAGTTTACAGATATCCCACTGCTAAAATTAAAGCAGAAACTAAAAATACAAAAATAATGAAAGTTTGAGTTACTAATTGCTACATGAATTAACTATGATAAAATTTTTAACCTGAAATTGATTTATAAATCATAATTTCAGGTTAAAAATTTTATAGTAATTAGTAATGTAGCAATAATATTAGTAATTTAATGACAAAAGTTATAAGAATTGTAAAAACTTAAAACTTTGAACCACAAACCCTGTTGCCAAATTCCTTAGTTCCAGCTAAGGCATGCAAATTGTCTGGTATTTAAAAAGCATTCCAGTGTTTTGCAGCATAATTATCCTCAAATGTAAGGAGTAGGCAGTATGCCGTAAATGTTAAATTATAGCTAAAAGAATTTAGACCATATTTGGTGCTATATTTCACCCTGGGTAAAGACAATACATTAAATAAGACAATTATTGTAGTAGTATGGGATCTTGGACCCCCAGCCCTTAATGACAGCCCTGCCTGAGGTTTATGTAATTGTGTTATAAAAATAACCAACCTTTTAATAACAATACATGGAGAGTGTAGGTGCATGTACAGTGTATACCACCTAGAACAATCACTGTGTCCTTAAAAAAGCTCTTGCAAAAAGAGACACTACCGTGTCTGTTTTTCTATTTTTTGTTCTTCCTCTTTCTTTCTTTTCTATACAACTAATACATGAAATCTCAAAAAAAAATTAAAAACTGTCAGTTTTTGCTTTACTCAATTAAATTTTTGATTCAATTATTGGTAATAAAAAAATGTAGCGTAAAACTCTCCAACATGACTTCATGCTATTTAATATGTCTACCTTGTAAGAATGTAAAGAGCTCTCCTGATGTTTAACTTCAGTGTAAAAACACCCTAAACGAATAAAGTAAACGAGTAGATAAGGCCAAAAAGTATATGGAAAGTCACATTCATTTTGATGACACGTTGATAATGTATATAAAGTTAACACAGCCAGGAAAAAATTGCTTAGTGATGTATAATCATTAAGCAATAAACTTAATGTCTATAGGGTTAATGGTGACAAAAAAGAAATACCTGCACAGGATGCAGGCATGTTATTTACCAACTTTTCAAGAACAAAAATGACAAGGAACACAAGGCAAAAAAGTATTAAATTTCAAAGGCTACCTTGAGATAATTACAAACGTAGACCTCCATCCGCTGCACACCTGCCACAAATGCAGTGTAGTGCTCCTCAAATTTTTCCTTGTCTTTGCCTTCCACATCAAGGAATGTGTCTGTTGTAATAGCACCCTCAAGTGGGGACCTGATGGAATGAATAGCGTCCTGAAGAATGGAGGAAATACTCTGCGGCTCCATACTTGTACTGTACACTTCCTTCACTTCTTCCTCTTCATCCAGGGTCTCTAAAATGCTTTTCAACCCACCATCTTGTCTGCTGCTGCCAACTGAGCCTTAAAAATATGAAAGTAATTCAGCTTTAACGTGATCCACGTTTTGACCAAATGCTTCTATGCAACTCAGATGCAACTGTCTTAAGCCGCTCTTTCCTTGCACTGAACATCATTACATGTAATTTTGCTACCACTAATGTATGTACATGTATAATGCAGACTATGTCGAAACCATCATACAGAAGAATACTAGCTACATTTAACAAGTTATTCTTCAAAATAAATTTTATAATGTTGAAGGTTTATGCTTAAAACATCAGGAAATAAAGTTTACATACATTCATTTTTTCTGGGGCTGGGGAATAATGTACTCTTCAAAAAATTCACAGGGAATACAAGAAACAATCACCTGAGCAGATGCTAATTTCAAGTACAGGTATACATGTATTGTCAAACTATCAAAACTAGTTGTGAACACCAGAAATATTTCTCAAATGTTATGTGTTTAAAAAAACCATTCAGGCATGAGAAAACTTAAAACCACCAGCAACAACATTAATTAGGTTGTGATGAAAATGTGGTCGTGTGTCAGGTCACATCATTCAACAATGAACATTCATTCACAGTTTGAAAATAAACCACATGACTAAATCAGCAAGAAGACTCTTGAATTAGAATACTTGCTTGGAGATTTGATAAGAAATGAAGAGGTGACAACATGAAACCTAAAACCAATTAGCAGTCGAGGTTTCACCATCAAAGTTTTGCTCTTTTAAATACACGAAAATTTTTTTTTTGGCCACTGCAAAAACAGTATTCATTTTTTCCAAATAAACCAATTCATCACAAGACTCATTAGAATACGATGACAGCTTACAACACCCAACCAATTAGTCTCACCATGGACCAACCTTTTTCTGGACTGAGGTACTTTCCTTTTTTCAAAGTAAAATTCTTTGTATGGCACCTGTTCTGGAAAAGCTTTCTTCACAAAACGTGCATGGGACCAGTCACGCCGCAATTTTTATGCCCAGTTTTCACAGTCTCTGCAAGGAATGATTGGGACCTGGACCCCTTTTGGCATGCACACATGGAAAAAAAAAGAAACACCTGCATTCTTAGAGTCTTGCTGCTAAAGTAAGTGGACTAGTAGTACATGTACCTTCTGCAGGATAACTGTGTTCTGAGCCACCACTACTGATGGAACTTGCTCCAGGCCTGATACCACTGATATCACCAGCTGCCACTTTCAAAAGTGAGTCACCAATATTCTGGTCATCCTCAGATAGTGGGCCACTGACCACCACATCCCTTGGCACACGTGGCAAGTTCTTCACATCATTAGAGAGTTTAGAAAACTGTGAAAGAGTGTGAATGATGTCTATCATACTGCGGATGTGGTTACAGAAGTTATCCAGGTGTGCAATGATGGACTCCTCATCAGTGAATGCAATGCCACTGCTGCCATGACTTGTGATGCTGTCGTGATCACCTTTCATTCTATTACCTTATGTAGAACAGTCACTCAGTTAAATGAGTCAGGTATGGTTAGGGACTATGTGATTTCTGTTACTTGGCCCTGACAAAAATTAAATTCATCTGAGAAATTCTATTCTTTTATGAATGTAGAGGAGTGCACTCTCCCATCTAGGGGTATAGAATGGTACATTTGAGACTTTGCAAGACTGCTAGAGACCCCTGATTCAAACCATGAGACCAAGACTTGAAAAAATCAAGACTCCGAGATGCAAAATCACCCAAAACGAGACTTCGAGACAAATCACAAAAAGATGCTTCCAAGGTTTCAAGATCAGGACAAAATTTTCTGACACCCAATTTTTTTTCAAAAAAAATTATGACAACATTTTCATCAGATGAGCATGTACTAATCTTTTATTCTATGTATAGCAGTTGTAAAATTTAAGAGTGTCCTTGATGTTGAAGAAGGGGCAAATAATTATTAATGTATAAAGCGAACAAATGAACATCAAAAAAATATTATTTGCAAATTGCAACTTCTGCGAACTGCAGCTGTAATCAAATGCAAAATGGAATAACTTCTTCATACATTTACCAAGCAGGTAACAGAGACTAGATGAAAATTAGTAGAATGGAATATTTTACACAGTAAACTCTCTCTAAGATGGACACCTTGAGGTGTCTCGCTATAAAGAGTCGAAGTATCATGACACCAGTAATTTTAAGACTGAACCTACTCACAATGAATACACGTCTATTATTTTAACTCATACAAAACAACCACAACTGGCACATTGTAACAGGAAAGTGGAATTATTTTCTCACTACGCTATCAAATGTTCATGGCAAGCAAATGTTCACAGCTTCGTGGTCTAAAAACTCTACAAACTGGAGCATGACTACAAAATATCAAACACTTTGCAATCTAGTGTCATGTAGAGCACCTACATTTTCATTTTGAGGTTTTTTTCACTGCATAACAATTTTCTGCTTATGGTTTCAAGAGTGTCTGTTGTCTGTCTTAGAGAAATGTCCATCTTAAAGAGAGTATAGTTTCAATAAAATAAGAGAAAAACAGCAGGGATCATAAAACATCAGGTGCCCATCTTAGAGAAGTGTCCATCTTAAAGTATAGAGGTGTCTGTTAAGAGAAAGTTGACTGTAAGTACTTCTGAGTTTATGAGATGTAATCTTTTAGAAGTGCAACAAACTCACACAGCACTTCCCATTGTTTGTTCTAACACTTGCTTTCAAGAATTATGAGATTCTTTGTACCCAATTTTTTCTACCTTTCAACACAATTTTTTTGTATGTCTGTGATCCTACAGTATATTCCAACTGGCTTTCAGCAAAGAGCTTTTTTGTTTATAGTCTTGAATTTGTAAAATTAATAATCAACAATTTTCACCAAGCAATATTTCATCAAGAGAGTTTAAGTCATAGGCAACAAAAAAGTTCATGCAACCCGATTCTCGACTCGCAATTGATTCTCAATGCCTCATTCTCAATGATCGACTCTCACAGGAATCAAGAATTGAGTCAAGAATCAAGTCTTACAATAGGTTGTCTTTTCACTTTTGAACAATGCTGTAGTACATGACAGCTGGATATGTCTCCGTCTTACAGAGAATTCACCAAAAAGCAGGTGAGACAACAGGCAAACAACACTAAGGCACAACACAGAAATAATGAGTTCCAATCAACAGAAATCAACAGTGAGCATAAACTTACTTTGTGAGAATGACAGCCTTAAGGGGCTACCAGCAGCACTAGGTGACATCAGATTTGAGGTGCTGTTAGTGATATTGGAACGTTTGGAAGGCTGCAGAACACTTGGAGTCATTGACAAGTTGTGAGAGCCACCTAATCCGTCCTTCAAACTTCTAAGCATATCCCTGTACTGCTTCTGTAAAGACAAACAGACATTAAGGCGTCCAAGGAAGCCATCATCACTGCTGAACAAGACGTCCTTATTTCCTTTTCTCTTTCCTTTTTGTTTAGTTTGATGTGCAGTTTGGCTGAAGGATGAGTCCATTTCTTCCTGGACCTTGCTCCAGAGTTTGTCTTCCTCCTGTACTGTTGTGCTTGATTTGATGTAGCTCCTTGCAGCCAGTACCAGTTGATTGGTGATCTACAATTTGGGAGAAGGACATTAATTTGGGGCTCAAAGGAGGGTCATTTAAGTCAAGCCAGGTCAAGCATACCCACCAAGATTCCATTAATCAGGTTGCAAAGAAAATCATTTTTACAGCTTGCCATTCAGGCAAGCTGAAGCTAACATTTACTAGCCCAGACGTCATTTCAACTAGCCCAAAAGCTTTTTGAACAGCACTTGACTTGTTCTTTTCACAAAAAGTTCTTCTGGCAAGTTGAAAACAGAATTTACTAGCCCAATAGCAAAATCCACTAGCTCCGGGCTGTCGGACACCACTTTCTTTGCACGCTGGTTAATGAATTTATTACTTGAAAGTTGAATCTGTTGGTACGCGTACGTAGTAGATTTCATATTCATCTCTGCATTCCTGCATGCATAATGAGCAGTGAATTCACATGCAAGATAGTTACAAAATAAAATTTCTACCAGCTCATCAGTTTTCTTAATTTTTGTCCATTCAAAGATATTTCCGAATATGACTGAATACAGAGAAGTTATTGTAAAAAAATCACTGTTCATTGCGCATGCAGGAATGCAGATTTGAATTTGATACTCAGGGTGCAAACAAAGTCAGCGCAAGCTGTAGCTAGCATGTTCTAGCCCACAAGTCATTTGAACTAGCCCCAAAACCCTTTGATTAGCGGGATTGATTACAATTTTCCTTCTGTAATTTGAATTTCCCCAAAAAACAACACTTGCCCGTCGGGCATATTAAGAACAAAAATCACTAGCCCAATAGCAAAATCCACTAGCCCTGGGCTATTGGACACGACTCTCCTTGCACGCTAATACTACAGCTGTAGTTGCCTCAATGACTAAGATTCAACTTTCAAATAATAAATTTATTAATGAAATATTGAGGGGTATGCTTAACCTGGCTTGACTGTAAAATGTCCATTACTGCCTACCTTAGAAAATAACAGTCCCAGGTAACCACTTCTAGCATAGTACCGTGAGATAGCGTCCATCTGTCGCACACTTGCCATCAGCCCCGGCAATGTGTTACTACAAATGTTTACAAGGGAATTTCCTACATGTAACTGATCAAAGTATTTGTGCAGTGACTCCAAGTACTTGACTTTATCCTTAGTCTCATTGAAAGCATCAGTGATACTGTAAAGAAGGACAAAAAAATGACAATGTGTTAAGCATACAATGTACAGTACACAATTTATCTGTAGCATAAAAGTATTGGGGCCAGACCTAAAGTACTGTGGGCTGCCTAATGAACAATAGTAAAAGAAATAAAGAGGAGAAGAGAGAATAAACATGGTATAAAACAAGGTTAAAAATACATTATTCACACTTCACATTTTCAAACCATGCTGTATACCTTAAATTAAACTTGTCCTTGTACATGTAAAAAATTACAGCTATACAAGGCACAATAATATAATAATTATAATTATGAGGTCTTCCAAGTGGTAGAAGGGACATGCGATATGACCCAAAAAAGTGGCGACAATCCTCTCAGAAAGCACTGACAATCAACAGAAAAGGAGGAGAGAAATGAAGGTGACAGTGACAGTCACTTTTTTAAGAAGTAAAAGACTTGGTGACGACAGTTTACTTTTGCATTTTGGCTGTTTCAGCAGGGGAGTAAAAAATCTTTATTCCCTTATTACCAAACATTATCTATTATTTTTCTGGAAAAATAATAATCTTTCCAGGCGCTGTGTATATCTGCCATAAATTCAAAATTATGAGCGACAAAGTAACAGCATACTCCCCCCCCCAACTTGGAAGGCCTCATTATAATATAATTAGGCCTTCCAGGGGGGGGGGGGGTACGAATTAGGAAGAGAGGAATTCAAGGAAGAATTCAAGAGTCGGCAGGACAGAGACACTATAGTTTGAAAATCTGAGCCTTTGCCGCAAGATGTTCCAGACTTCAAGAAGTAAAAAAAAAAACAAGAATGAGACTTCTAGACTCATCACAAGCTTCAAAATTTTCCACGATTAACAATTATCTTAATGTAGGCAACCTTTCCCCTAAGGTACAGTAAACACTGTATGTAATTATCTGAATCAAACAAAAACTGTCAAATACACTGTACCTGCCATCGATAGCCTTCCATCTCTTCAATACTTTTGACTTGGCTGTTATAAGAATGGCAATCACACCCTTGCAGTCCTTACTTTTTAGCTGGTCTGTTACACTAGTAAGAAGTTTCTGTCTGCGTTTCCACTTCTCTAGTTCACTAAGAGGGCCAGCAAATGGGTCGAACCTGGGTCAGACAGAAGTGAGTCAGATACGAAAGTGAACATATTTTATCATCACAGTAGAATAAACAACCTACAAGTTAAGGCTGAAAAAGAACTCAAACAAATTCAGACTTGATCAGGAATCCAACCCTGATATGACCAGACACAACACTCTATTCATTGAGCTAATCAAGCCGACTAGGGAGCAAGCCATTGTGAGTATGTAATATACACAATAGTGGAAATGACATGAATTGAAATACTATCATAGTGAATTTTTTTTTTTCTGGTCACCTATTCATGTGGCGGGTCAATTTTTTTACCTACAGGTTGATTATCAATTTCCTTTGTCTCCTAACTCTGATACAAAAAAATTGAGGATCAATCTAGGTTAAGAAATTTTAACCTCAGTTTTACTTCAATCAACAACACAATTACATGCAACAGGTCACTTTGTCAAGGTCACCCTGTCCAAGTTCACCGTCCAGTCTTGGAGTTCACCTCAAAAGTTTAACTTACTGCATGGCCTTAAAATTGACATGCAAATGATCTACCATCTTGTTCTTTAAATACTTTATAAACTTGAGGCGCAAACTCGTCAAACTTGCAGGGCAAAATACTATACTGCTGGCGCACAATTTAACAACTCACTATGGGAAAGGTATATATTATGCTTCTGGATGTAGAAATACTGACCTTACTGACTGGTCTTTAATAAAAACCTTATATGTTAATAATTCCCAGAAAGGTGTATCTTTCTGCCAAGGGAAGGTACATTTTTAATTAAGAGGGAGGGTTGGGGTATTTTTCATCTTTTTTCTGAAAAATTTTGTGGCCCTCCCCTTATTCTTACCTAGTAAACAAGTGACCCTACTTCTCAAACAAAACAAAAACCGGTAACCCTCCCCCACTCCTATCCTTCCATTGCATATGCACCAGTTCACCACCATCTGCAGTTCCACGACCCTTTCCTGACTATGACAAGCTTCCTGATTTCAATTTTTCTACCACTATCAGCAACATCTATCTATGGTCATAAACCTGATGATTTTCATCCCCAACCTCAAATGAAAAGAATGTTCCACGAAAAATAATTACATAATTAAGTCCATGAGATGGCAAGACAATAGCTGAATTTCTCATAAGCATATTGTCGTGCACAAGTTTGTGAAGGACTATGTTGATCACCTTGCTCAAATTGAAAAGCGTAAGGAAAAGCGAAGAGCTGAAAGTGAAAGGCAGCAAACGCAGTGGCTGGAACAAGATTACAATGACATTGAATGAGAGCAATATTGTATCATTCTGACCACATATCAGCATTGAAAGATCGTGAACTTTTTTGATTTGCATGGACCATAATGGAACAGTTTGTAAGGGGAAGAAGCCAGAGAAAGTGGCATATATAAAGGCACATGTCGCTAGTAGGATCTTATCAGGCATGGAGAAAGAGACTCCACTTCATGAAGAAACTTTAACTTTGAGCTCAGAAAGTGATGTAGAGGAAAGGACTGTAGGCTCTGAAACATCGTTAACATCATCGAGTGAATTCAGACTGATATAAGTGACAACCGTGTACTGCATACAGTGGTCACATCAATGTCAAGGTAGGGCCAAAAGAGAACACAGGTCTTCCAAGACAGTTACGTGCCATGGCAGAACAAGAAGAAAAAAGAAAGACAGAAAGAGTGAATGAATCTGATGAATGAACTGCAATAAAACTGCTGTTTAACAGGAATCTTGAGTAACTACAAGTTCCCATTCAACAGGAAGGACTGGTACAAAGCTATAGAATACAAAAAGAATGACATCAGTGTGGTAACTTAACACATTTGCACAAACCACTGTGAAAAAAAAGGCTTGACCCTCCCTTACTAACTTTTAAAATAAGGGTTGACCCTCTCCCAGGGTCCCATTTTTTTGGATGAACCTCCCCGCCCCCCAATTAAAAATGTACCTTCCCTAAACAACTAGCACATGCATGCATAAAAACAACTGGGCTGCATCAAATACTGCATTGCATTAAGCTTATCTACTGTAGTAATACACGAAAATAATCACTTGATTTATCCTCTCCTGCATGCTGACCTTTTTATAAGAATCCTTTTATAAGCTAAGCTTACCTTTCTTCTAATCCGTCAGTCAAAATATTTTCTATAGTGCCAATCCAGTCCAAAACTAAATTTTCATATTCCTGCAAAATGGAAGGATTAACTGCAGCAGCTCTGTTTTGTTTAAAGTCGGACGTAACTTGTGATTCTGGTTTCTTCAAAATTTGTTGAGGTGCGATCGTGGCGTTTGCATACTCGGTCAAGGTGTTTGTGTATTTGTCGATTTGGTTCAAAAAGTGCGACACTTCTTCCTCTGAAGAAGTACCCCAGTCCTTCTGTGCATGCAAAATAGGAGCGAATATTTCCGAAAGCAACGCACTGAAATGTACGAGTGGGTTCTCCTTGATTTCGCCACAGAACACCTCTTTCTCCACGCACGTAGGATCGATTACACGCTCCAAATTAGAACGGATGAAGTACAAGCAAATGGCCTCCCCGTCCATGACTTCCTTAAGCTTTGCACACGAGCTAGCCACGCTCATCTTTCTTGGAATAAGGCTGTTTGGGTCAGCTTTAGGGCAGTAGAAAAAGAGCTTTGTATGTCCGTCAGGAGCCAAAAAGTCATTGATGAAGTCGAGGGTTGACTGTTCGGCCATAAAGTCCTCGAGCATCGTTGGGTTGTCATAGGGGCCAATATGAAATGTTTCTTGTAGCTTTGTTGCGAACCACCAGTGTCTCTCATCCATTTTCAGCTGTTTAAAGGTAATTCAGCTGTTAAACTACGAATATGTCAATGTTTTGGAACTTGCAGAACGAAATTTCCCTCCATTTTGTTGTCATTTGGTAGCCAAGCACTGGACAGCAAGGTCCCGGATGAAAGCTTGCCCCCGCGAGGGAGGTGGAATGTAAGGGCGCGAAATGAGAAATGGAACGTGAACGAAAAGTGGATACTTAGGGATATCTTGACAAGAAGACGCGCCAGAGACATGCGAAAGGAAACTCGAAAGCCCTTTCACTTACCTTATTTAGAACTTTGCATCTGTTTTAACTGCTGCAAATGCACTGTCTTTTAAATAGGACATTAATCATCTGTTAACCCTTTTGTCTCTTTCACAGACCCAAATGACAGATTTTCCTACCCTTTTACATAGTTCAACTAATGAAATCCCTTCCCTTTCATATGCCTGAAGCCTGCCTGTGTAGGCCATCAGATGGAGTCCCCCCTCCCCCTTCCGAGAGCCTGTTCCAGGCGCTCAGATAGTAGAGTGTGGACGAAAAAAAAGGAAAAAAGGAGGGGGGAGTCTAGAGAAGGAAAAAGGGTTCTCTCACTCTCGCCCCAGTCTCAACTTGTTTTCCCCCTTTTTCCCCGCGTACGATTTCACTCGCTCCCCAACATCTGAATGTCGCTGGAAAGGCTACTGAATGCGCAAAGGTTTTACCTTACCCGTGCGTTTTAGTTCGGAGGCCTCCCACGTACACAGTCGGGTATCGTCACGCGCTCCTCACTTCGGACAACCTCGTCCCCAGGGTTGCACTTCGGAGAGGAGCGCGTGACCAAGCACTAAAGGTGATGTTACGGGACGATTCGCAACGACGATTTTTTGTGCAACACGGCGTCGCAATGTTGGAACAATGTTGTAACTATTCGGAACAATGTCGGAACAATGTTGCGACGCTTTGTTGAGCTAAAAAGCGTGCGAGGTTATACGGTTTGCTTCATCCAATCAAAGACTCACGCCTCAGCCACGAGTTTCTCCAAATTTTTTTGAAAAAGTTATTTAATGTCATTCTTTAAAGAGTCTTAAAATGTTGCCTGAACTGCTGGACTTTTCCAAAGTTGCTCAAAACTGTGCTCATCGAAGTAAAATCAAAATGAAAGCCACTTTTGCCTTTGTTGCTGGTGACTTGCAGGCCCGGTTCAGACGCCGAACTTTTCATGAGCCGAACCTAATACATTGAAAGTATCATGAAAAGTTCGGCGTCTGAAGAAATTAGGGACGCGTATTTCAATGTGGGACGGCTCAGCCGTTCTTCCCGCCTAGCCCGGCTGGGAATTTCGACTTTGGAGGGACTTTGGAGCGGATTTGATTCAGACTCCGAACTTTTCATGTCCCGAACCAAATGCATCAATTTTTATAACGTATTCAGTTCGAAAGATGGATAGACCTATTCACTGGATAGCGTTATTGGTTTTCCTAATACTTCTCCTCTGGATAGCGATTTATCCGGTGGAAAGCGCTATCCAACTTTGGAGGGCAGTAATAGGTTGTCTGAGACTACATTTCGAGCGTTCTGAAAAACTGGGTATTACTCAAACTTTTAGTCTTTATTTATTTATTTATTTATTTATTTATTTTTATTTTTTCACAATAGAGTACTTTATTTTACAATTTGTTTAGAATGACAATGCCACATGACACTATTTAAAAAGAAGATGAGTAGAAACGGAAAACCGGTTGTAATTTCCAGTATTATTCGTTAGATTTGATGCATTATCTTTGCATTATCAGATGATCTTTCCGTGATAGTGTACCAAGCTTAAGCTTCCTTGGGTGTTTCTTAGAAACAGATCAATCAAAGACTCGTTTCAGATCAATGTATCGGCTAGATAGTGGCCGGATGTGTATAAGGGCCAGTGAAGAAAGCCTCTAGATCTTGTACCGCGAATACTACCTTTTGATCACTGAAAACAGCTGATATTCTAAGCTATCCTCAAAGACAAAGGGCCACTCAAAAAAGGAACAATGCATACTTTCATCTCCTTCAAGAAAAAAAAGAATCGAGATTTGGACACCCCTCGTAATTGGTAGGAGCCCATTAGTGGCTCCCGTAATTAGCTGTTTTAACATTAAGCAAGTAAGAACGTTTGTACTATTCTCGCTACAAAAACAAAACAAGTTAACAATAATGTTGCTCCTAGCTTGCTAGCAAGTGTCACAATACACACGTACCCGCAAAGAGAGAAATAACAACATTATCGCGCTCCAGTCCTAAGACTTGCATTACTGTAATTTACATGAAAGGGCTTGGAGTTGACTGATGTAAGCAACCGCACTGTTGACCGAGTGGCAGTATAACAATATCCTGCAAGAAAATCTGAAGAGCTGGGTCCAGCATGTCAAAACTATACCGGGGAACCTTTTACTTACTGTGAAAATAATAATTCAGATCCCACTCGCAGGTGCTACGGCACAAAATGGCACCCTTTCGCTGGCCTAAAGTCGAGCATAACCTAGCAGTTCGGAAAAGTTTTTTTTTTCTCTCTTTGCTAATTAGACTAGGCTTTTGTACATTATGCTAGCATTTTTTCGAGCATTTTAGTGAGGCAAAAGCATTGAGCATTATTCGAGCATTTTAGTGGCATTTTCCCCGGAAAATTAATTTTTCGAAAATAAAGTAGAAATTAACTTTTTTCAGGAGCCCATGCCCCATGAGCTCCTGCTTTTTTAAACAAAATGAAGACTAACATTCAAAATTCACAAAAAAACCTAATTAATACAGCTGGTTGTTTTGGCTGTATTTATGAACTTGTACACGTTGTCGTTGTTACTTGCAACACTTGCACGTTTTTGTAGGTGTAAACTTTGAAATTAATTTAAAAAACCGTTTGTATAATAAGCATTATCCGAGCATTTTAGTGACTTTTTTGGGGAGACCGAGCATTTTAGTAGGAAAAATGGAGCATTAAGGTTGAGCATTTTAGTAGGGAAGCAAAAGCATAATGTACAAAAGCCTAAATTAGAGCCATTGTTGTTTGTTACTGTTCTCGTTGTCTTCACCGTTTTTTCTTTAGCATTACACGATTTAATACTTTGTTTGAGTAACGTATATAAAGTAAAGAGAGCTCCGCTTTTAGCCGCCTGGCTAAATCTTTATATTAAAAAATTATTCATCAGCTCCTAACAAATCAGTCAGTGTCATTTAATGAAAAAAAAAAAAACGTTAAGACGAAAACCCTTTCATGCAAATCAAGATCACGCAATGATATTACACATGCTTCAACAGTTTCCTCAAGTGCATTCTCCTGTTCTGAAAGAAATGCCTCATAATGCGGACAACTGCTTTGGAAACAGTTAGGTATTCGGATTTGCACTCTTGAAGACTCTTGAACTTTTGAAATACAGCCTCGTACCAGGGTCAAATCCGAGTGAGAGGAGGAGGCTTGGAACGAGCGCGAGAGCTAATTTTTCCGACAAGCTTGACAGGTGACGTCACATCCGGAATCGCCAAGGACGACTGGGAATGAGGCTGTTTGCCATGCATTCATCTTTCTTGCAACTCGAACAACATTTTCTACCTGCTGACAGGCCAGGTTTTCTGGATTTTTCACTTTCTGGCTTTTTCAGAGTTTAAGCCGGTCGTTTTTATTCGAGATATAGAAGTCTGAATCTTCGATGTTTATCGCCATTTGCAAAAAGTTGACCTCAAATCACGGGTAGTCTAAGTGACTGGGACGGGCGAGAGGCGCAAGGTGCAAAATGCATGCTATCTTTTATTCGTGGTATAGAAGTCTGAATCTTCGATGTTTGTCGCCATTTGCAAAACGCTGACCTCAAATCAAGGGTAGTCTAACTGATTAGGACGGGCGAGGGGCGCAAGGTGCAAAATGTATGCTATCTTTAGAATTAAAGAACTGAAATTTTTTTTATAAGGATGCATAATAAAGCAGGCTAACTTTGTTCACATTTCCGTCCAAGTTTTATCAAAACGTATGTTCACAGAATAAATTTATTATTGGCTACAAATAGAGAGTTCTTAAGCAGTGATTAGTGTCGAAAAGAGTTAGAGTATGAGTCGCTAGTTGGCTCCAGTAAAACCCAAGAATACGGTGAGCAAAAAGTACAAGAAACCTAGGAAGTTTCTACAACTATCTTGCTGTCAAGGTTGGCCAGGGTTTTTGGGTATGCGGTATACAGGGGCTTTTTAAATCGGGTATGCGGTATATTGCGGCTTAAATACGGGTATTCGGTATATCACTTTCTTTGAATTTCAGGTATAAAGTATACCTGGGTATAATTTTGGGCATATTTGGATGAATTTTGGGTATTTTGGGGTATTTTGGCGAATTTTTTTCGGGTATACTGGTATACCACTACCCCCCCGCCGACCCTGTACCGTAGCCGCTACGCAAGAGCAGCGTGCTTATAATATGTGCAAGCCTCTGCTTTAAGGCCAGTTAAGTCTTCCGTTTTTCCTTATTATAATTAGACTTCCTCACGACAGGGAATGCTAGCTAATCCAGAATTAATATTTCGGTTTCCCATCGGAAAAATTTAACTTCGTCCGGTAAGGTGGCAAGCACACTAAGTTGGAAATTGGTAAGTGTTGAACTGATTTAGTTTTCGCCGGCGCCAGATATTACGTCGTTCTTTAAGTATTAAAAAACGTAGGTTGAATAGACGAAATGATTGAAAAACAAGACCTACAGCAGGTTGTACCCAAGAGCCAAGCGACGCATTGGTATGATTGCGTGCACGTTTTTGGCAAAAACAAGTTTTTGACCAGTGGGACATACAAAACTGGTAAGAGAAAAAGAAAACAAAATTGTTTTCAAAACAACTGAGTTAGAGGTTCTGACCTAAGCACGCAACAACTCTTCCAAACCTTTTGGAGTAGTCTTTGGATTCATTCGCTTATACCATATTCTGGTCTTTGAACAAACTAGAAAAATAAAAGCATTTTGCTACTTCTATGATTAATATAAATGAATAAAAGTTTTATTTCCAAGTATGGCTTATACGCCATGCGACACGTTTTTCAGTTTGTACATGTTAACACGTGGTTAAATGAGGTCATTACAAGTTGACACAATCTCTTTTTTAAAAAAATTGTTTTGAATTCAAAGCTGAGCCTCTATAGTATGGCAC